CAGCAATTGTTCACCTGTTCTAATTCTTAACAGTATCATTAAAATGTGAATCATCTTGGTCAAAGGTCTTTCATTTGAATTTGATTGAATGGTACTGCTAACTAAGTGACAATTGACTGGCTGTTGTGGTCATAAATTGTACCTCCCTCTGCATAGCTTGAATTGTGAAATACGTATTTACTCTAAAAACCTTATGGGCAACTTTTTATTATTATATGAGAAAGATGCCCATATGAAGGTTTCTGCAGTAAATATCATGTATTTCACAATTCAAACTATACAGAGAGAGGTACAGTTTATGACAATTAAAAATTTTGTGAAATAATTATGAACAATATGGCAAATGAAAATAAGATTTTTCATAATTTGCATTTGAAGATTTACAGACCTCAAACAGACAATAATTATGTTTTTATGTTTTTTATTCTGAAGGAAATGTACCATTGGTTGATGGCAAATCTTTGATAGTCTCCTGTGTCAAATTTATTCACAACTTTTTCTTGACTAGGTGTGATTTATAGCTTATAAAGACACTTTTTTATTGTGGAAGACCATACGTTTACCTAGTTTGTCTTTTGATTTTCTGTGTTGTAGGGTTGTTGTCTCACTCTGACATCTCCCTTTATTCACAGGTGATCTAGGTATAATTTTACTTTGCTAGAATTGTCTCCCATTTAAAAATTGTTCTTTAACAAGCAAGAGAAGAAATATACTGTCCTGAGAGCTCCTAGAAAATCCTTAAGTTTATTTATGTTGTCAGTACCATTCCTTATTTAAAGTTATACCCTGAAAGATAAACGTCTCTTCTATCTTGATTGATTGATGTTTGTTTTATGCGACCACAGCACCAAAGTATTCCTACAATTACCACTCTATGGTAAAGCAAAGCTTGAACAACAGTTTAAAAAACATATTTATCACAGTAAGTGTTCTACATAGATTTCTATATAGCCAATGAACATACATATAATCTTTACATGTACATTACAATCTTTATTTACCATGAAATGTCTGTTGTATCATAAAGGAACTCAATATTGATTTTTCCTCTATTTTTTAATGTTTTATACATGATTTATAATGTTTTGGTTTTCTGGGAGGATTTAATTAAGTACCGAACATTTTTAAACAGTGTCATAAAAAAATAAATAAGAATTCAGAAATCTTTTTGAAATATGTGGGTTAAAAGCTGACTTTTATGTTGTGTCTACTTGATTTGTACGTACAATACCAACTTTAAATAAAGCTTCTTACATGTAAGTACTATTATTTATTTACAATATTTTATGGGAATGATTCAATTGTTGATAATAGCAAATTATTAATTAACCGAGGTTATCAATTAATTGGCTATTTATCCATGCAAACCAGAAGACTCTGTTTCTTACAGATAATACCCTGACAACTATTTATATTGGTTGTTAATAAAAAGTTATTAAATTATTAATGATTTCACTCTTTTGATACATCGACACAGTGCATGTAGATTAACAATTGATTCTAACTGTGCTTAGTTCTAAAGTAGAGCAGTGAATAGCTTTCAATTTCAACAAGACATACAAGGTTTTCAATTGAACTGTTCCTTTGACTGAATAGAATATTTCATTGAACGCTCAGTTGTAGTTCTTTATATTGGACGTGCTGGAGATACTATATTAATATTTTAATTGAAATCAAGAAAGATGTGTTTACAGTCATACATATAATAATAATTGTATAGGTTTACAGTCATACATATAATAATAATTGTATAGGTTTACAGTCATACATATAATATTAATTGTATAGGTTTACAGTCATACATATAATATTAATTGTATAGTTTTACATAATAATTGTATAGGTTTACAGTCATACATATAATATTAATTGTATAGGTTTACAGTCATACATATAATAATAATTGTATAGGTTTGATTGGGGTCAGGATTAAATATTCTGTCTCTCATTCAAAGATCTGTATTGACTTCACTTGTTTAAATTGGTTATGTTCTTACGGTATTGAATGTCTTTATTCACATCCCTTAGGACTATATCCTCAAAACAATCAAGTGTATTTGGACCTTTTCTGTAAACTCCTCAGGACCCTAAATAGGCTATTATCTCTTTTGTGGTAAGCTAAACATACTTTAAGTAACTTAGCCTGTCAGTTCTGTGGGTCAGGTCTTTTAGAGCCTTTTACAAGTGTATTGGCCCTTGGGGTAAGTTTTGGCAGTCCTCACAACCTGTAAAATCAGGAACATTTTGTTCACTTATTAAACTCACTGATGTGGCATAAAGAAATCACTAATCAATCAATCAATCAATATCAAACTCACTATACTTTTTAAAAAGATGTGACCTCCCTTTCGGCTTTTAAGGTTTTATTTTACTGGTATTTGATGCTATCAAGGATAGTTTTTTATCACAAACTATTGCCATGCAGCTATTGGCATTACTTAATGTCTGTCATGTCTGTAGTCCATTGTGGATTTGCATGTCTTGGTCCATCTTGGTTAACTTATATTTTTAAATCTTCACTTCATAAATTGTTTTACGAATTTCAACAAAACTAGGCCACCATTTCTAAGGTTATCTTGTTTGAAAATTATGATCCTGCCTACCAACCAACATGGCAGCCAAGGCTTAAATTATAACATAAGGGTAAATAGCAAATATTGTCTTATTTAGTCTTAGATGCATGATTTTTTTTTTATTAGTTGTTGTTGGCTTTGAACTAGCTGTCGGTAACTGCGAGTACTCTCAGATCTGTACTTAGTGTCTTTTTGTTGTGAGGATGTATAAGTACCCGTCCATGTCCACTCTGTTTTTGTTAGATGTATTTCTATTTGTATCCATCTGATGAGTTGAGCCTTTTTCAACTGATTTTTATACGCCCGTCAAAATTTAGATGGGACGTATTATGGTATACAAATGTCGTCTGTCTGTCTGTCAGTCTGTCCTTCCGTCCGTCTGTCCGTCCGTCTGTCTGGCATAAACATGTTGCACCGTAACTTGAGAACGACTTATCCAAATTTCCTGAAACTTAACATAGTTGTTTCTTATGATGGTCAAACGATCTGTATACTTTTTGGTGAAAATAAGATTAAAACTTTTTGAGTTACAGGACTTAGTAACTGAAACAGGTGTGTGTTTTTTTTCTCATGTCGCGCCGTATCTCAAAAACAATTTATGATTATTGCTTAAAACTTTACACACTTCTTAGATATATTAATCTTAAGATCTGTATACTTTTTGGTGATGATTCAAAATTTTATTTTTGAGTTATTGAGTATTTTGTAAAAAAAGGGGGAGGGGTTTTTCACATGTCGCGCCGTATCTCAAAAACAATTTATGATTATTGCTTAAAATTGTACACACTTCTTAGTTATATTAATCTAAAGATCTGGATACTTTTTGGTTTTGATTCAAAATTTTATTTTAGAGATATTGATTTTAAAAAAAAAAAATTAGGAGGTTTTTCACATGTCGCGCCGTATCTCAAAAACAATTTATGATTATTGCTTAAAATTTTACACACTTCTTAGTTATATTAATTTTAAGATCTGTATACTTTTTGGTTTTGATTCAAAATTTTATTTTGGAGATATTGAGTTTTTTGTAAAAAAAAAGGGGGGTTTTCGCATGTCGCGTCGTATGTCAGAAACTATTTATGATTATTGCATAAAAGCTCACACACAAGATGACGGGTGTATCATGCGCTCATGGCACAGCTGTTTATTATAGTTTGTTCTTATGATGTACTGTTACACCACTGACACTGTCCCAGGTTAGGGGAGGGTTGGCACCTTCAAACGAGTTGTACCCAGCCACATTCTGTATGTGCCTGTCCCAAGTTAGGAGCCTGTAATTCAGTGGTTGTCGTTTGTTGCTCTGTTACATATTTGTTTTTCGTTCATTATTTTGTACATAAATTAGGCTGTTAGTTTTCTTGTTTGAATTTTTTATATTTGTCATTTTTGGGCCTTTTATAGCTGACTTTGCGATATGGGCTTTGCTCATTGTTGAAGGCCGTACAGTGACATATAGTTGTTAATTTCTGTTTTATTTTGCTCTCTTGTGGAGAGTTGTCTCATTGGCAATCATACCACATAGATATAAGAAGATGTGGTATGAGTGCCAATGAGACAACTCTCCATCCAAGTCACAATTTGTAAAAGTAAACCATTATAGGTCAAAGTACGGCCTTCAACACAGAGCCTTGGCTCACACCAACCAGCAAGCTATAAAGGGCCCCAAAAATGACGTGTAAAACAACCTTCTTTTTATATTATATATATATTTAAAAGAAAGGTGAAAGATACCAAAGGGACATTCAAATTCATGTCATGATGAGTTGAAAAAAAACCTTAAACAATAAGGGTGCTAATTTTGTTTGGTGATTTCTTGTTAAAGAGATCTACAAATAAGTTATGGTGAAAATATTAATGGCTTTACAGGAGATGTTGCTTTTAAAATACATATTTTTGCATTATTGACTATAATCTTGAAAACTACCTGCAATTGTGTATGGTCATGGTGGTGGGGGAAATGGGAGTTGTTATTAATGGTTACAAATAACTTGTAGATTTCATTCTGGCAACATGTAAAACTCCTCAAACATGCACTAGGAACAAACTTGAACGGTGTTTGGCTGTACCATTATTGAGTTTGATCCTTTAATGATTAAACATGCACTAGGAACAAACTTGATCAGTGTTTGGCTGTACCATTATTGAGTTTGGTCCTTTAATGATTAAACATGCACTAGGAACAAACTTGAACGGTGTTTGGCTGTTCCATTATTGAGTTTGGTCCTTTAATGATTAAACATGCACTAGGAACAAACTAGAACAGTGTTTGGCTGTTCCATTATTGAGTTTGGTCCTTTAATGATTAAACATGCACTAGGAACAAACTTGAAAGGTGTTTGGCTGTACCTTTTTGAGTTTGGTCCTTTAATGATTAAACATGTATCTTTACTAGGAGGGTTCATAATAGGCTTTATTTCACTTTTACAGAATGTTGAAATGTTACACATGGTGTGGCTAGACAGTAATACATGATATGTGATGAACAAGTACGAAATATTAGGAGTCGTAGGCGAAGGTATGTATTATAAGGTGGAAATATTTGGAGTGGAAGAAGATCTTGACCTAACTCCATATTTCAGCTAGTGATCAAGTTAAGTTTTTGTGATTTAGGTCAGTTTCTCAGATACTATAAGTAATACTAGGTTAACTATATTCGATGAATAGAATGATTGTAATATGTTCATGTCCATCTGGAAGAGTTGATAGAGCCTTGACCTTATTTTCATGGTTCATTGGCCAATGTAACATTTTTGTGAATAAGATCTGTTTCTCAGATACAATAAGTAATAGATCAACTATATTTGATGAATAGAATTATTATAATGTCTACTTGTCTGTCTCACAGGATTAAAAGAACCTTGACCTTATTTAATGGATTTTTTATAATATAAAGTTTATGTTATACCTGTTGTAAGACTTTGATCTTAAAAAACATTCATCATAAAATTAAATCATAATCAGTAAAGTTACCTAGGCTAGATATTTCAGCATGTGCACGCTTGCTTATATATTAGTATGGAAATTCTATTTTTATGGTTCGCTCTGAATTGGTATTATATATTGGTTTATCTTTTTGTTGTAGGAGCCTACGGAGTGGTACTGAAATGTCGTCACAAGGTAAGATTAACAATCTTTTATTAATATTTATATTTATATGGGTTGTTCTTTTATTAATATTTATATTTACATGTCTTGATTCATAGACACTTAGCTCCTTTTTAAGCTATTAAGGAAGTGCATGTTACATGTTTTGAAAGTACATGTAATAACAATATTATATTTATTATAAACAAGTACATAATGCTTTGAAAACAACTATGGTTTATTTCATAAAGACCCCCAAAAATAGCGCTTGAAAGATCAATGATGGACACCATATTGTGTAAATAATTCAGACTTTTATAATATTCAAAAGACATTTTATCAACCAGAAATTATTTTCTGTGAAAATGATCATTAGAATTTAACATGATTTGCTTCCTACATGTCATGCCAACATTTAGTTTTCCTTTCTTATTGTTATTTTCCTTTCCTTGATCATTCGATAGTGATGCTATGTAGGCTTGATACAGGATAATTCCTTGATGGTGATGTTATGTAGGCTTGATACAGGATAATTCATTGATGGTGATGTTATGTGGGCTTGATACAGGATAATTCCTTGATGGTGATGTTATGTAGGCTTGATACAGGATAATTCCTAGATGGTGATGTTATGTAGGCTTGATACATTTCCTTTCCTTGATGGTGATGCTATGTAGGCTTGATACAGGATAATTCATTGATGGTGAAGTTATGTAGGCTTGACACAGGATAATTCCTTGATGGTAATATTATGTTGGCTTGATACATTTCCTTTCCTTGATGGTGATGTTATGTAGGCTTGATACAGGATAATTCCTTGCTGGTGATGTTATGTAGGCTTGATACAGGATAATTTCTTGATGGTGATGTCATGTAGGCTTGATACAGGATAATTTCTTGATGGTGATGTCATGTAGGCTTAATACAGGATAATTCCTTGATGGTGATGTTATGTAGGCTTTTTTCAATTAATTCTATTCTAGTTGATCCATAATGTTAAAGAGTGTCCAATGTTGAAGATGCACATTGACCTAGGTGAGCGATACAGGCTCTTTAGAGCCTCTAGTTTATTTTTGAAGATACAGAAAAGGTTTCTGTATGAAAAGTGTTGTACTTATTCCCAACAGTCATATTATGACTTTCATTCTTACTTTTATGTCATATTATAACCTGTTTATACAGGTAAATTACAGATAATTTCATAAAATTAATAAGTTCCTCATTTTGAAGTCTTCTCTCCGCGTATAAGTTTGTTTGTTCCTCTAATAAGTCCCACATTGAATTATTAAACAATAGTTTAAAGAAATCAATTGGTTGTGGATCTTCTCCCATGTGAATATTATGCAAACTCCACCTTTGGAGTTCCTGTGAACAGAGGGTGTGTCACCATGTGTGTGTCAATTCTGGACCAACCATTGTTCTCATCTCCCCCAACATTTATGTCTTTATCGTCCTGTTTATAATTTATATTATATCAAAGTTATTATTGATATCATCCAGGTCAAAGCCTTAAAATTTTGCTTTCATTGTATAAAATCATCTTGTTCAGTATCTTGTCAAGGCATGTAGCCATTTTGACTTCTTATTTTTTTTTGTCCCACCTAGGATAGTAGTAGGGGCATTATGTTTTCTGGTCTGTGTGTCCGTCCGTTCGTCCGTCTGTCCTGCTTCAGGTTAAAGTTTTTGGTCAAGATAGTTTTTGCTGAAGTTGAGGTCCAATCAACTTGAAACTTGGTTCACATGTTCCCTATGATATGATCTTTCTAATTTTAATGCCAAATTAGAGTTTTGACCCCAATTTCACGGTCCACTAAACATAGAAAATGATAGTGCAAGTGGGGCATCTGTGTACTATGGACACATTCTTGTTCAGTTTTATTTTTAGCTGGGTTCCTGGGTATGATATTTTCTCAAAGAGAGTGTCCAGTGTTCAAGCGCCATCATGACTTGGACATATCCCTTTTAACATGAACTAAAATCTAAAGACCACCAGGGTGATATATACATGATACAGGGCAGCGATTCCAAATAAAAATTAAAAAAAACTTGTTCCAAGAATAGCAGCCAGGGACTATGCACCTCATTGCTGCATATGCTGTGTAGTGTTGAAAGGGTTAAAAAGAATTTATTTAGTTACATCTAAAAGTTTTTTCTTTTTAAAATATGGTGTTGACTTTAAGATGTATTTTTCTTTTCTTTTTTTGTTGTTGTTGTTTACTTGATGTTTTATTGTCCCAACGTCTCCTTTTTACTTATCTAAGAAATAAAAATGACATAAAAGGAAGCCTCAGTGAAATCCCCTTTGAGGAATGGATATTTAGCAATACCAAAAAGAACTATTGTCCATTTGTCATAAATTTTGATATGGACATTTTTTCTGGTTAATAAAAAGACCAGAAAGGATACCTAAGTGTATGGTCTTAACTTCACAGTTACAACAACACTTCATGTTTAAAAGGAAGTAACAGTTGAAATTGTTTGGGTTGAAATGTAAACGTAATTGGTATTTTAATAATGCATTCGTATGGATGTAATACCACTCCATGTATACATTGTAAAACTAATGACATGTTTTTAAATTCCTTTTTTGTAAAATCCATGATTTTTATGATAACATCTGTTTGTACTTGCTTCTATTCACTAAACCTAGAGGTAAATTGATTAGAAACCTAATTCTGTGTGAACATATGATCCCACTAAACAAGTTGAATATTGATCGTTAAACATTGGTAGTGTCATATTACTTATCTTCAATGAAAACAGTTGGACTGTATAAAACTGTTGTATTGTAATTGTTTGTTAGAAACTTAATGGTATACATATTGGACCCTGTATCTAGGACATCTTGGACCCTAGTATAGTAAATGTTTGTTAGAAACATAATGGTACACATCTTGGACCCTGTCTCTTAAGACCTCTTGGACCCTAGTATAGTAAATGTTTGTTAGAAACAATGGTATACATCTTGGACCCTGTTTCTTAAGACCTCTTGGACCCTAGTATAGTAAATGTTTGTTAGAAACATAATGGTATACATTTTGGACCCTGTATCTAGGACCTCTTGGACCCTAGTATAGTAAATGTTTGTTAGAAACATAATGGTATACATTTTGGACCCTGTATCTAGGACCTCTTGGACCCTAGTATAGTAAATGTTTGTTAGAAACAATGGTATACATCTTGGACCCTGTCTCTTAAGACCTCTTGGACCCTAGTATAGTAAATGTTTGTTAGAAACATAATGGTATACATCTTGGACCCTGTATCTAGGACTTCTTGGACCCTAGTATAGTAAATATTTGTTAGAAACATAATGGTATACATCTTGGACCCTGTATCTAGGACCTCTTGGACCCTAGTATTGTAATTGTTTGTTAGAAACATAATAGTATACATCAGACTAATCATGCTAATTGAACATGTGCATCCCCTCCAATACAATCAGACTAATTGAACATGTGCATCCCCTCCAATACAATCAGATAAATTGAACATGTGCATCCCCTCCAACACAATCAGACTAATTGAACATGTACATCCCCTCCATTACAATCAGACTAATTGAACATGTGCATCCCCTCCAATACAATCAGACTAATTGAACATGTGCATCCCCTCCAATACAATCAGACTAATTGAACATGTGCATCCCCTCCAACACAATCAGACTAATTGAACATGTGTATCACCTCCATACAATCAGACTAATGGTACATTCCCTCCCCTCCAATACAATCAGACTAATGGTACATTCCCTCCCCTCCAATACAATCAGACTAATGGTACATTCCCTCCCCTCCAATACAATCAGACTAATGGTACATTCCCTCCCCTCCAACACAATCAGACTAATTGAACATGTCCATCCCTCCAACACAATCAGACTAATGGAACATGTGCATCCCCTCCAATACAATCAGACTAATGCTACATTCCCTCCCCTCCAATACAATCAGACTAATGCTACATTCCCTCCCCTCCAATACAATCAGACTAATTGAACATGTGCATCCCCTCCAATACAACCAGACTAATTGAACATGTGCATCCCCTCCAATACAATCAGACTAATTGAACATGTGCATCCCCTCCAACACAATCAGACTAATTGAACATGTACATCCCCTCCATTACAATCAGACTAATTGAACATGTGCATCCCCTCCAATACAATCAGACTAATTGAACATGTGCATCCCCTCCAATACAATCAGACTAATTGAACATGTGCATCCCCTCCAACACAATCAGACTAATTGAACATATGTATCACCTCCATACAATCAGACTAATGGTACATTCCCTCCCCTCCAACACAATCAGACTAATTGAACATGTGCCTCCCCTCCAACACAATCAGACTAATTGAACATGTGTATCACCTCCATACAATCAGACTAATGGTACATTCCCTCCCCTCCAATACAATCAGACTAATGGTACATTCCCTCCCCTCCAATACAATCAGACTAATGGTACATTCCCTCCCCTCCAATACAATCAGACTAATTGAATATGTCCATCCCCTCCAACACAATCAGACTAATTGAACATGTGCATCCCCTCCAATACAATCAGACTAATTGAACATGTGCATCCCCTCCAATACAACCAGACTAATTGAACATGTCCATCCCCTCCAACACAATCAGACTAATTGAACATGTCCATCCCCTCCAACACAATCAGACTAATGGAACATGTCCATCCCCTCCAACACAATCAGACTAATTGAACATGTCCATCCCCTCCAACACAATCAGACTAATGGAACATGTGCATCCCCTCCAACACAATCAGACTAATGGAACATGTCCATCCCCTCCAACACAATCAGACTAATTGAACATGTCCATCCTTGCTATACAATCAGATTAATGAACATGTCCTTTCCCTCCAACACAATCAGACTAATTGAACATGTGCATCCCCTCCAATACAATCAGACTAATTGAACATGTCCATCCTTGCTATACAATCAGATTAATGAACATGTCCTTTCCCTCCAACACAATCAGACTAATTGAACATGTGCATCCCCTCCAATACAATCAGACTAATTGAACATGTCCATCCTTGCTATACAATCAGATTAATGAACATGTCCATCCTTGCTATACAATCAGATTAATGAACATGTCCTTTCCCTCCAACACAATCAGACTAATTGAACATGTGCATCCCCTTCAATACAATCAGACTAATTGAACATGTCCATCCTTACTATACAATCAGATTAATGAACATGTCCTTTCCCTCTAATGCGATTCATAGATTAAACAATTTTACTCCAAATATATCAGAAATCACAGTAAAGAATACATTTGATATCCTAACAAGTGTCAACTTAATATGAAAATGAACACATGTCTCAATGGGTGTTTCCCTATTTATTGTGACTATAATAAACTTATGATTTATGATCATATCTATAACTTGGATCATTCTTACTCCCAATTATTTATTGTTTGAGAATAGGTAAATAAAGTGGTATTGAAATGGAGGCTCAGGGGAGGAAGCTACACAAGATTTATATCATTTTTTTATGAAATGAAACAAAGGATGAAGAAAATCATGACAATTCTTTAAAACTTAATTGAAAAAGTTTGTATTTCAAGTACAATTTTAAATCCTTCTCTTTTCTATTTAACATGATCATGATGATAAATGACAGGTTATCAACTAGTTCTTTGCAGGAGACGAAAGTTTAAAATCATTCAACAATATTTATAAGAAGTGATTGTCAACACTAAATAATTTTAAATCTTCATGGTCAATCAGATGTTCTTTTAATCTGAATAAAATATGCTATGGTAAAGAATTCACTTGGGTAAATGTGAAGTTATGGATAAAGAATATGCCATGGTAAAGATTTCACTTGGGTAAATGTGTAGTTATGGATATAGAATATGCTATGGTAAAGATTTCACTTGGGTAAATGTGTAGTTATGTATATAGAATATGCTATGGTAAAGATTTCACTTGGGATAGAATATTTACTTTTCAACAGACTTACTTTCATGTGAGGCCAAAATTAAAATTAAGTTTGTTTCCCCTTACCCGACCGACCCTCTAAAAATCTGCCGACTGAAATAATTTTTTTCGAAAATCACGTTGTTGTTTTTTTTTTTTTTTTCGTTTCGCTCAAAAGTTCGTTTTTTTCAATTTCGTTTCCTTGTATTTTCAACATTCCGCGAAATCATTGTCGCCCGTGTGTTTGCAGCAAAGGGTAAACAACGTATGCAAGGATACTGAAATTGGAATGGAATAATGTTTTAAATAAATGCATCCGAGCAATCTTAACTACTCTTCCATTCTAGCTACGCCTCCCAATAACAAAATGCGTTGCGAGAATGGCCGAGTAGTTACGATTGCGCATCCGAGCTCACCCTTGAGCTTAAATGTTAGGCCTGGTGTTTCTGCCGTGTTTGTGGTAAATCCCTGAGTTCGCCTTTATCAGTGGTTGACTCAATAAGTTGTATATTGGCGTGCTATTTATGCTATTTTGTTTCATTTCGTAAGTGATATTGGACCATACACTAGTTGTCTTTGGATAAAATAGTAGTTGATTTTTTATCGAGCTCAGTATCATATTGTGTTGTGAAAAGTCGAGATGACTATACCAGATAATGCTTTGATAAAAGTTCTTGTAAGTTCTTATGTCTTTTATAAGCTATAATGGGCTGATGATTAAATATGGTCACACATTCAGGGTTTTGTGAAATAAGATGCCAGTGTTTCATTATTATATTTTTAGTTTCTGTATAGATGGGTTGAATTTTGTTAACATTACTAGCGGTTGCTCCCATTTCGCTGGGCGATGTGTTAGCAAGTTTTCCCTTTCTGTATTTTGTGTTTGATAAAAAAAATTGTTGATTTCAGATATTTGATATCCTCGTTTGAGCTTCTTACTGTTTTTTAAGATCAGTTTTGCTGCTTGTGTTTCTGAGATACCTCAATACTTCACCCTTGATAAATCCTTTCAACATGTTCAATGAAAACACTTTTTGGGTGTGAGCAGTGTCTGTGCAGATATTGATATGTTTCAGTTGGTTTGATATTGGTTTTAATGTCTTGTATCATACTATGCCTTCATTAAAGAATCTTTCTCCTTTGTATAATTATGACAGTGTCTAAGAATATTGTTTCATTACAGGAAAATTCGTAGGTGAACTTTAACTATCATTATCATTTTGTTTCTCTGTGTTGAAAGCATTGTAAAATGTGTTCAAGAATTAACAAACATTGTAAGGTCTGCTAACTCAGCGAATACTGATCCGCACATAGACACACCCAAGGTTTCATGGTAAAGTTTATTGTTAAAAGTAAATTCATAGTTTTCTAGAATAAGTCTTAATAGACGTAGTCATACTCGCTTGGATCACGGTTTGTGGCTTCTAGTATTTCCTTAAATGAAAAACAAGTGTACATATTTTTTGCATCGAATGTTACTAGGTAGCAGTCTCGTTGGGGTTTTATATTTTCAATTGAATTAATAAAACTATAAGAAAAATATAGAACCGTGTCTCAATTTATATGTGGTCTACTCTAAATCACAAAGACATTGATATTTACAAACATTTTCTAGTCTGAAATTGTAAGGTCTTCTAGTCATGCATATTACGTTATACAGTATGTTGTTTTAGTATCAATAAAGTTCAATTTGTTGTTTTTCTGTGTTTTCCTGTGTGTTAGATATATTTCAGGGATTTTCTCTAAAAAAAAAAAAAAAAGCCTACCTACCTACCCACTTCCAAAATGGTGGGTAGGGTAAGGGGAAACAAAGATATTTTTAATTGCGGCCTGACCTTGTTCAGTAGGTGAATATCCAAAATGATTTTTTCTTTTAAGAGTTTATTTATGTGGAGTACTTCTTTTTTGCTAAGACAAATGAACAACAGAATATCACATATAAATAATACAGTACAAATGAATAACACTTTTTGGTAGTATGAGAGCTCAAGTCTATAGTCATCTTGGATCCCAAATGACAGCAGATGATTGTTTCAGATGGTTTTGATGCAATTTATTTAGGTGACTTTGTATCTTTAAGACACATTGATTGTTTGAATGAAATACTTTGGAGCCTCTCATATTTATTTGAGTATTGTAACATTGACACCTTGTTAACACAACTCCTCTGAGACCATTTGACAGAAAGCTCTCATACTTTGTAGGTTTTTGTTGACCATCATGTGTTGTTGATCCTTATATACTGTCATTTTGATTTGACCATTTTCATGGTAGTTAAGGGACTCAGACCATATTTTGACTATTGTACACACAGTTTTATTCCTCATTCATACAGTTGAGGGGGGGGGGGGGGGAGAGGACATTTTAGCAATCTTGTCTATTTTTATTTATTTGTGAGAGTATATTATGTTTCTTTCCAGGAGTCAGGTGAAATGGTGGCAGTAAAGAAATTTAAAGACAGCGAAGGTAAGTTAATACCCTATAATTTGTATCTAATGTCACTGGAAAATATAACAGATAACTCTCAAGTACAGATCATGAAGCATATTTAAATTGGTATTTATAGGGGACTTGTCAAAATAACTTTTTTTTAAGATCATGCCAGAATGACTTCCATTTAGATTAGATATTTTTATGGAAAATATCAAAATCACTACATCGTTTTATAAAAAGTGTAAAGAGTAAATGGATGTTAGTAGAATACTATGATAGTAGTATATCTTCAGTGGTGTTATATGCACTGGACATTAAGCAACCAACAATCAATCAATCAAAGGTGGCATATGGTTTACTCATACTGTGTTAACTCTACCTGTCAGATTATTACAAGTTATATTTCCTGTAATAGTCTTTCTTCAATGGTTGTATGTGGTTTACTGTGAGGTTAATTTAACTGCCTTACTGTGAGGTTAATTTAACCGCCTTTCACTGAAGAAAAGTTATTTTTCCTGTAATAGTCTTTCTTCAATGGTTGTATGTGGTTTACTGTGAGGTTAACTTAACTGCCTTTCACTGAAGAAAGTTATTTTTCCTGTAGTCCCAATGAGTAACCAGGGACTATCTTGGAAGAAAATAATGAGTGATTTTTGCCTGAAGTTAAGCAGAGTACCTTAGTGTCAATTATCCAGTAACTAAAGAACAGTCTGATTATTTGTGTGTAAAACAACGATTTAAAGGTCACCTATCAGATTTATACACTGTATTACCACAATCACTTTCTTTGGATTAATAGTCTCTTTGTTTGAAGTGATTTTCTATTGATGTTATGTATTTCTCACTGTTGTAAGTCAGAGGTTGTTCCTAATATTAAATAACAACATTGTTTGTACATAGGCTTATAGGAAGCTTTTCAAACTTTTAAAAAACCCAATAAACTTGGACTGTTTGTGTTTAAAATATTTTATGAACCATAAATTACATTTAAAAGATATAGTTAAGATCTTAGGTTAATAAAACTTAATATATTATCTGGCCCCCAAAAATGCTTTTATTACATAGGTTAAAATGAAGTACCTCAGTCAAATAAAAGGTTGATATTTCACATGTATTTTCACTGCTACAACATTATACAATATGAGTTGTCAAGATGTTCTAAAAAGAAAGTGGCAATAAAACCAACTGAGAACATGAAGAAACCTTGTATTTACTACTTTATTTAGTTTAAAAACTTATGTAATAACAAGAATAAGTAAGCCAAAAAATTAATTATAAAAAAATATTCAACTTGTGACTGAACAACATTGATGAATCACTCATGTGCCACAAGCATTGTGAGTTAATGTGTTGTTTCTTCAATTACCGTTTGAGATTTTCCACATTTCAATTATTTGATTATCAATTCTAAATATACTGAATTGTATATATCTGATGGCTTCCCCCAACTTTGTTATTTTAGATAATGATGATGTTAAGAGAACTACAGAGAGAGAACTGAACATGCTGCGAACTTTGAAACAAGAAAATATTGTAGAATTAAGAGAGGCTTTCAGAAGGAGAGGGAAACTGTATCTTGTTTTTGAATACGTAGAGAGGGTAAGTTGGGGAACCTTATAGCAGGAGAATATTGTAGAATTAAGAGAAGCTTTCAGAAGAAGAGGGAAACTGTATTTTGTGTTTGAATACGTAGAGAGGGTAAGTTGGGGAACCTTATTACAGGAGAATATTGTAGAATTAAGAGAGGCTGCCAGAAGGAGAGGGAAACTGTATCTTGTGTTTGAATACGTAGAGAGGGTAAGTTGGGGAACCTTATAACAGGAGAATATTGTAGAATTAAGAGAGGCTGCCAGAAGGAGAGGGAAACTGTATCTTGTGTTTGAATACGTAGAGAGGGTAAGTTGGGGAACCTTATAACAGGAGAATATTGTGGAATTAAGAGAAGCTTTCAGAAGAAGAGGGAAACTGTATTTTGTGTTTGAATACGTAGAGAGGGTAAGTTGGGGAACCTTATAACAGGAGAATATTGTGGAATTTGCTGTTTCAGAATCTAAAGGGCAATGGGTAATTTTATTGTTACACCAAAATGAAAATAATGTCGCACCATTGATTGAATTTTCATTGTTTAGGATGTTCTGGTGTACGCTTTTAAAAATATTACCCAGAATGCATTAGATTCTGAAACAGCGATTTAGAGACAACCAATGAATAGTATTTGAATATTTATGATGGTCAGGGGAGGGAGCTTGAAAACCTAGTTGAATGTGAAAGGTTTAAAGAGCACCATCTGCCCAATAGCCAGTGCTTTGTACTGTCAAGGTTAAAATTATACATTTTGTACTAATTAGTTTATAAAGTAAATAACTGCACTATAACTATGGCTACAACTTTATGTAACATTTTACCTTAGGTGGCTTCTTTGGTTGTTCTATTTTGGTACTTTGGAGATTTGATACCATTTTTCCAAGGACTTTTTGTCTTGTGTAAATCTGATGACAGTTATCCAGAAACATATATCATACACATTATTATCAGTATCATACACAACCACTTGATCTGTACTACTGATGGTAGATTGTACATTGTGAGGGGTTCCTGATGATAGATTGTACGTTGTGAGGGGTTCCTGATGATAGATTGTACGTTGTGAGGGGTACAGTTTACATACACTTGATCTGTACTACTGATGATAGATTGTACGTTGTGAGGGGTTCCTGATGATAGATTGTACGTTGTGAGGGGTACAGTTTACAACCACTTGATCTGTACTGCTGATGATAGATTGTACGTTGTGAGGGGTACCTGATGATAGATTGTACGTTGTGAGGGGTTCCTGATGATAGATTGTACGTTGTGAGGGGTTCCTGATGATAGATTGTACGTTGTGAGGGGTTCCTGATGATAAATTGTACGTTGTGAGGGGTTCCTAATGATAGATTATACGTTGTGAGGGGTACAGTTTACAACCATTTGATCTGTACTACTGATGGAAGATTGTACGTTGTGAGGGGTACCAGATGATAGATTGTACATTGTGAGGGGTTCCTGATGATAGATTGTACGTTGTGAGGGGTTCCTGATGATAAATTGTACGTTGTGAGGGGTTCCTAATGAAAGATTATACGTTGTGAGGGGTACAGTTTACAACCATTTGATCTGTACTACTGATGGTAGATTGTATGTTGTGAGGGGTACATGATGATAGATTGTACGTTGTGAGGGGTTCGTGATGATAGATTGTACGTTGTGAGGGGTTCCTGATGATAAATTGTACGTTGTGAGGGGTTCCTAATGAAAGATTATACGTTGTGAGGGGTTCAGTTTACAACCATTTGATCTGTACTACTGATGGTAGATTGTATGTTGTGAGGGGTACATGATGATAGATTGTACGTTGTGAGGGGTTCGTGATGATAGATTGTATGTTGTGAGGGGTACAGTTTACAACCACTTGATCTGTACTACTGATGATAGATTGTACCTTGTGAGGGGTTCCTGATGATAGATTGTACGTTGTGAAGGGTACCTGATGATAGATTGTATGTTGTGAGGGGTACCTGATGATAGATTGTACCTTGTGAGGGGTACCTGATGATAGATTGTACGTTGTGAGGGGTTCAGTTTACAACAACTTGATCTGTACTACTGATGGTAGATTGTACGTTGTGAGGGGTACCTGATGATAGATTGTACGTTGTGAGGGGTTCCTGATGATAGATTGTACGTTGTGAGGGGTACAGTTTACAACCACTTGATCTGTACTACTGATGGTAGATTGTACGTTGTGAGGGGTACCTGATGATAGATTGTACGTTGTGAGGGGTTCCTGATGATAGATTGTACGTTGTGAGGGGTACCTGATGATAGATTGTACGTTGTGAGGGGTTCCTGATGGTAGATTGTACGTTGTGAGGGGTACAGTTTACAACCACTTGATCTGTACTACTGATGGTAGATTGTATGTTGTGAGGGGTTCCAGATGATAGATTGTACCTTGTGAGGGGTTCCAGATGATAGATTGTACCTTGTGAGGGGTACCTGATGGTAGATTATACGTTGTGAGGGGTGCAGTTTACAACCACTTGATCTGTACTACTGATGGTAGATTGTACATTGTGAGGGGTACCTGATGATAGATTGTACCTTGTGAGGGGTACCTGATGATAGATTGTACGTTGTGAGGGGTTCAGTTTACAACAACTTGATCTGTACTACTGATGGTAGATTGTATGTTGTGAGGGGTTCCAGATGATAGATTGTACACTGTAAGGGGTTCAGTTTACAACCACTTGATCTGTACTACTGATGGTAGATTGTACGTTGTGAGGGGTACCTGATGATAGATTGTACCTTGTGAGGGGTTCCAGATGATAGATTGTACCTTGTGAGGGGTACCTGATGGTAGATTATACGTTGTGAGGGGTGCAGTTTACAACCACTTGATCTGTACTGCTGATGATAGATTGTACGTTGTGAGGGGTACCTGATGATAGATTGTACATTGTGAGGAGTTCAGTTTACAACCTCTTGATCTGTCCTGCTGACGATGGATTGTACGTTGTGAGGGGTACCTGTTGATAGATTGTACGTTGTGAGGGGTACAGTTTACAACCGCTTGATCTGTACTGCTGATGATAGATTGCACGTTGTGAGGGGTACATGATGATAGATTGTACGTTGTGAGGGGTTCCAGATGATAGATTGTACCTTGTGAGGGGTACCTGATGATAGATTGTACGTTGTGAGGGGTTCAGTTTACAACCACTTGATCTGTACTGCTGATGATAGATTGTACGTTGTGAGGGGTACAGTTTACATACACTTGATCTGTACTACTGATGATAAATTGTACGTTGTGAGGGGTACCTGATGATAGATTGTACGTTGTGAGGGGTACAGTTTACATAAACTTGATCTGTACTACTGATGATAGATTGTACATTGTGAGGGGTTCCTGATGATAGATTGTACGTTGTGAGGGGTTCCTGATGATAGATTGTACGTTGTGAGGGGTTCCTGATGATAGATTGTACGTTGTGAGGGGTACAGTTTACAACCCCTTGATCTGTACTACTGATGATAGATTGTACATTGTGAGGGGTTCCTGATGATAGATTGTACGTTGTGAGGGGTTCCTGATGATAGATTGTACGTTGTGAGGGGTTCCTGATGATAGATTGTACGTTGTGAGGGGTTCCTGATGATAAATTGTACGTTGTGAGGGGTTCCTAATGATAGATTATACATTGTGAGGGGTACAGTTTACAACCATTTGATCTGTACTACTGATGGAAGATTGTACGTTGTGAGGGGTACCAGATGATAGATTGTACGTTGTGAGGGGTTCCTGATGATAGATTGTACGTTGTGAGGGGTTCCTGATGATAAATTGTACGTTGTGAGGGGTTCCTAATGATAGATTATACGTTGTGAGGGGTACAGTTTACAACCATTTGATCTGTACTACTGATGGAAGATTGTACGTTGTGAGGGGTACCAGATGACAGATTGTACGTTGTGAGGGGTTCCTGATGATAGATTGTACGTTGTGAGGGGTTCCTGATGATAAATTGTACGTTGTGAGGGGTTCCTAATGATAGATTATACGTTGTGAGGGGTTCAGTTTACATACACTTGATCTGTACTACTGATGATAGATTGTACGTTGTGATTGGTTCCTGATGATAGATTGTATGTTGTGAGGGGTTCAGTTTACAATCACTTGATCTGTACTACTGATGGTAGATTGTATGTTGTGAGGGGTGCATGATGATCGATTGTACGTTGTGAGGGGTTCGTGATGATAGATTGTATGTTGTGAGGGGTACGTGATGATAGATTGTACGTTGTGAGGGGTTCAGTTTACAACCACTTGATCTGTACTACTGATGGTAGATTGTACGTTGTGAGGGGTTCAGTTTACAACCACTTGATCTGTACTACTGATGATAGATTGTACATTGTGAGGGGTACCTGATGATAGATTGTACGTTGTGAGGGGTACAGTTTACAACCACTTGATCTGTACTACTGATGATAGATTGTACATTGTGAGGGGTACCTGATGATAGATTGTACGTTGTGAGGGGTACCTGATGATAGATTATACGTTGTGAGGGGTACAGTTTACAACCACTTGATCTGTACTACTGATGATAGATTGTACCTTTTGAGGGGTTCCTGATGATAGATTGTATGTTGTGAGGGGTACCTGATGATAGATTGTACGTTGTGAGGGGTACCTGATGATAGATTGTATGTTGTGAGGGGTACCTGATGATAGATTGTACCTTGTGAGGGGTACCTGATGATAGATTGTACGTTGTGAGGGGTTAAGTTTACAACAACTTGATCTGTACTGCTGATGGTAGATTGTACGTTGTGAGGGGTACCTGATGATAGATTGTACGTTGTGAGGGGTTCCTGATGATAGATTGTACGTTGTGAGGGGTACAGTTTACAACCACTTGATCTGTACTACTGATGGTAGATTGTATGTTGTGAGGGGTTCCAGATGATAGATTGTACCTTGTGAGGGGTACCTGATGGTAGATTATACGTTGTGAGGGGTGCAGTTTACAACCACTTGATCTGTACTACTGATGGTAGATTGTACGTTGTGAGGGGTACCTGATGATAGATTGTACCTTGTGAGGGGTACCTGATGATAGATTGTACGTTGTGAGGGGTTCAGTTTACAACAACTTGATCTGTACTACTGATGGTAGATTGTATGTTGTGAGGGGTTCCAGATGATAGATTGTACAATGTAAGGGGTTCAGTTTACAACAACTTGATCTGTACTACTGATGGTAGATTGTACGTTGTGAGGGGTACCTGATGATAGATTGTACCTTGTGAGGGGTTCCAGATGATAGATTGTACCTTGTGAGGGGTACCTGATGGAAGATTATACGTTGTGAGGGGTGCAGTTTACAACCACTTGATCTGTACTGCTGATGATAGATTGTACGTTGTGAGGGGTACTTGATGATAGATTGTACATTGTGAGGGGTTCAGTTTACAACCTCTTGATCTGTACTGCTGACGATGGATTGTACGTTGTGAGGGGTACCTGTTGATAGATTGTACGTTGTGAGGGGTACAGTTTACAACCGCTTGATCTGTACTGCTGATGATAGATTGCACGTTGTGAGGGGTACATGATGATAGATTGTACGTTGTGAGGGGTTCCAGATGATAGATTGTACCTTGTGAGGGGTACCTGATGATAGATTGTACGTTGTGAGGGGTTCAGTTTACAACCACTTGATCTGTACTGCTGATGATAGATTGTACGTTGTGAGGGGTTCAGTTTACAACCGCTTGATCTGTACTGCTGATGATAGATTGCACGTTGTGAGGGGTACATGATGATAGATTGTACGTTGTGAGGGGTTCCAGATGATAGATTGTACGTTGTGAGGGGTACCTGTTGATAGATTGTACGTTGTGAGGGGTACAGTTTACAACCGCTTGGTCTGTACTGCTGATGATAGATTGCACGTTGTGAGGGGTACATGATGATAGATTGTACGTTGTGAGGGGTTCCAGATGATAGATTGTACCTTGTGAGGGGTACCTGATGATAGATTGTACGTTGTGAGGGGTTCAGTTTACAACCACTTGATCTGTACTGCTGATGATAGATTGTACGTTGTGAGGGGTACATGATGATAGATTGTACGTTGTGAGGGGTTCCAGATGATAGATTGTACCTTGTGAGGGGTACCTGATGATAGATTGTACGTTGTGAGGGGTTCAGTTTACAACCACTTGATCTGTACTGCTGATGATAGATTGTACGTTGTGAGGGGTACATGATGATAGATTGTACGTTGTGAGGGGTTCCAGATGATAGATTGTACCTTGTGAGGGGTACCTGATGGTAGATTATACGTTGTGAGGGGTGCAGTTTACAACCACTTAATCTGTACTGCTGATGATAGATTGTACGTTGTGAGGGGTACCTGATGATAGATTGTACATTGTGAGGGGTTCAGTTTACAACCTCTTGATCTGTACTGCTGACGATGGATTGTACGTTGTGAGGGGTACCTGTTGATAGATTGTACGTTGTGAGGGGTACAGTTTACAACCGCTTGATCTGTACTGCTGATGATAGATTGCACGTTGTGAGGGGTACATGATGATAGATTGTACGTTGTGAGGGGTTCCAGATGATAGATTGTACCTTGTGAGGGGTACCTGATGATAGATTGTACGTTGTGAGGGGTTCAGTTTACAACCACTTGATCTGTACTGCTGATGATAGATTGTACGTTGTGAGGGGTACATGATGATAGATTGTACGTTGTGAGGGGTTCCAGATGATAGATTGTACCTTGTGAGGGGTACCTGATGATAGATTGTACGTTGTGAGGGGTTCAGTTTACAACCACTTGATCTGTACTGCTGATGATAGATTGTACGTTGTGAGTGGTACCTGATGATAGATTGTACGTTGTGAGGGGTTCCAGATGATAGATTGTACGTTGTGAGGGGTACATGATGATAGATTGTACGTTGTGAGGGGTACAGTTTACAACCACTTGATCTGTACTGCTGATGATGGATTGTACGTTGTGAAGGGTACCTGTTGATAGGTTGTATGTTGTGAGGGGTACAGTTTACAACCACCTGATCTGTACTACTGATGGTAGATTGTACGTTGTGAGGGGTACCTGATGATAGATTGTACGTTGTGAGGGGTACATGATGATAGATTGTACGTTGTGAGGGGTACGGTTTACTGGTCAATGCTTTGGTATTGGCATAACTTCAATCATATATTGTTCATTTTATTATGAGTTATTGTTCTAAAACTAAGGTTGTAACTTTCCAGGCATATAGGGTTGACCAAAGATGGCCTGGATTTGTTCTATATCTGTCCTTTAAAATTTGATGATAATGAATTGGTGATTAATGTCTGGTGGTAAATATTACATGCATATCAGGAAAGGAACATGTAAATGTGATATACATATGAGGTTTGCATGCTACGACACAACCGCCAAAGCCGTATCTTGAGTTTTTATATTCTTACCATTTTTTAGGTATTGGCTTCCCAGACTTTTGTTCTATAGCATACCTGATAATGAATATTCCAATTACAAGTTGTTGTATGCAGTAATATTAAAGGATCCATAAGTTCAGCACAGTAAATTGTTCTTCAAAGATCTGATGCCCATGTCTTACAAAATCAGTTGTTTATTTATAGAATATGTTAGAACTTCTAGAAGACATGCCAAATGGTGTACCTGCTGAAAAAGTTAAAACTTACACATACCAGTTGTGTAAAGCCATACAATGGTGCCATACTCAAGATATCATACATCGAGGTAAGCTATCATGAATGATTTATACTACTGGCATGACTGAATATATCTTATTTGCACTAAGTTATACTACAGACATAACTGAGACATTGCAGAAACTTACACAAGCTGTTTACGCCAGGGTTAGGTAAAGAACAATATATCTTATTTGCACTTAGTTATACTACTGACATGACTGAGACATTGCAGGAACTTACACTAGCTGTTTAAGCCAGGATTAGGGAAAGAACAATATATCTTATTTGCACTAAGTTATACTACAGACATGACTGAGACATTGCAGGAACTTACACTAGCTGTTTAAGCCAGGGTTAGGTAAAGAACAATATATCTTATTTGCACTTAGTTATACTACAGACATGACTGAGACATTGCAGGAACTTACACTAGCTGTTTACGCCAGGGTTAGGTAAAGAACAATATATCTTATTTGCACTAAGTTATACTACAGACATGACTGAGACATTGCAGGAACTTACACAAGCTGTTTAAGCCAGGGTTAGGTAAATAACAATATATCTTATTTGCACTAAGTTATACTACAGACATGACTGAGACATTGCAGGAACTTACACTAGCTGTTTAAGCCAGGGTTAGGTAAAGAACAATATATCTTATTTGCACTAAGTTATACTACTGACATGACTGAGACATTGCAGGAACTTACACTAGCTGTTTAAGCCAGGGTTAGGTAAAGAACAATATATCTTATTTGCACTAAGTTATACTACTGACATGACTGAGACATTGCAGGAACTTACACTAGCTGTTTAAGCCAGGGTTAGGTAAAGAACACTATATTTTATTTGCACTAAGTTATACTACGGGCATGACTGAGACATTGCAGGAACTTACACTAGCTGTTTAAGCTAGGATTAGGTAAAGAACAATACATCTCATTTGCACTAAGTTATACTACTGACATGACTGAGACATTGCAGGAACTTACACTTGCTCCTCAAGTTAAGGTTAGGTAAAGAACAATATATCTTATTTGCACTTAGAATCTCTGTGCATTTTTCAGGTTTATTTAAATTCCTTTACATGGGGCATAATTATAATGACTAGCAAGTTACAAGTTTATTGATTTGTAAATACCAATAAATGCATAGGATATATTGTTAAATGCAAGAACTATACATCCTTTCTCAGTGTAATTTGAATTTAATCTTTAGATTATTAGGTTTTGTTTTTTCTTTGAAGTATTGAATTCATAAAGTGTCTTTGTTATACTTGTCAGAGGATCATGGGAAATACAGTTATACCTTAGGACGAACATAAAAGTGAAATTGATTATATGTCAAGTTGAGTTTCAAATAGCTTTTATAAAAGGCAGATTTTATATATCCTGTTTTGTTAGCTGCCGTTTAGATATTACACAGATTCTGATGTTATTTTTCAAGTTATATGCACTGGACGCTTCATGGAAAATAAAACTTCTTCTTTATAATTAGTATGTGGTTAAAAAAAATTGGAAAAAGTGCAGAAATGTTGCAGTATGTCATAACCAAAATGTGCCTGTGTTTGAGTCAAACAATATAACCAGTAAAAAATTGTCTAGTTCAAAGAACTTATTTCATTTGTATTTAAATGTCAGCAGCCACTGGTTGTTAAACAAACAACTAATGTATTTAAAATCACTCCCTATACTGTCATATTAGAATTTCCTTATTATGTGTTTACCGGGATTTATCTCAATGCTATTTATATCCTTGTATCAGGCTGCAGGGCATATTACTTAGACCATGTTGTCTTTTTTCATCCATCCCATCATTCTTTGTTAGTCAATCAGTTGTATTTCAATGTAGGGCATCTTATATAGACCTTCAGACCATTTTATACATTTCAATTTTATCTTATTTGAGAATGTGGTAGAAATTTAGAGATTTGAATGAATGACTTATAGATATTCCTCAGTAATTAGTTGTTGACTTGAATCAATTGGTTTTACAGATAAGATGATCTATCATGTGCTGATTGATTAATTATTTACATCATTAGATAATTAACTTTACAACCAGACTAAAATAATGAAATTAGAAGCCATTTCTATTGATTCTATTGTTAAACCAGCTAGTCAACATCGGTGTATTGATAGTAACATAGATACATTATTATAGGTCTAAATAATAAACAGTCATCCAACATCATCATCATCTAAATTGTAAAGTCTATCATTTGAGATTTCTGATTGCTTTGATAAAAAAGCTATTGCTAGAAATTTTGTCTTTTAAGAAAACAATTTCAGACCTAATTACAATTTTAGGTCATTATTCTTATAAGTAAATTTTTTTCCCACTGTTAATGGTAGTCAATCTGCCATGATATCAGTTTATTTCCCCCTGTGCGACACGTTGTGGGGGACATAGAAATTCTGGGTGTCAGTCATGGTCTTGTTAGCGCTTTCACATGTACAATTTTTGACAATTTTTTATGAAACTTATATCATAGGTTTATATCAACAATGTCTTGAACAAGCTTGAAATTCAGTGCAGATGAATTATTTTTAAAAAGAGTTATGACCCTTGGAAATGTTAATTATATGGAAAATTGCATTGTAAGTGCTTTGACATGTTTAATTCATGACAATTTTTTATGAAACTTATGTCATAGTTTTGTAATAGCAATGTCTCAGACAAGTACGAAAATCAGTGCTGATCAATTATTTTTAAAAGAGTTATGCCCTTGGAAATATTATTTATATGGAAAATTGCATTGTAAGTGCTTTCACATGTATAATTCTTTCCGAATTTTTATAAAACTTATAGCAATGTCTCAGACAAGTACGAAAATAAGTGCTGATCAATTATTTTTAAGAGTTATGCCCCTTGGAAATATGAATGATATGGAAAATTGCATTGTAAATGCTTTCACTCGTACAATTCTTGTAAGATTTTCATGAAACTTGAAGCATAGGTTTATAATAGCATTGTCTCAGACAAGTACAAAAATCAGTGCTGATCAATTATTTTTAAAAGAGTTCTGCCCCTTGGAAATATTAATGATATTGAAAATTGCATTGTAAGCATTTCACATGTACAATTCTTGCCAGATTTTTATGAAACTTATAGCATAGGTTTAAATCAGTATTGTCTCAGATATGTATTTAATTTATATCAAAGGTTTATTATTTTGTATCAACAATGTCTCTGAGAATTTCGAAAATCAGTGCCCATCAACAATTTTAAAAGAATTATGTCCCTTGGAAATATTAATTGTATGGAAAGTTACATTGTTAGAGCTTTCAAACCTTCGTTTCTCTAAGATATTTATAAAAAGTTTTTAAAAAACCAAAAAAATAAATATGTGCAATGCGAGGTACAATGGAACTCTGTTCTTTTATTTTACATCTTTTATTAAGGATTATTGATGTCAGGAAAAGGCCCTTCTATGTGTATTTGTGAAAAACAAAGATTTTTATTGTTTTAAACATAGTTTTTGCACCTGCAATATAGAGCGCATGCAAGTACCAACTAAATAAATTACATATCACAATGTAAATATTTTTGTGGTACTTGAATTTGATCGATACTACCCACTAGCAAACAGGGGTGAAAATATGCAGATTTTGTAATTTCTTTTTAGAAAAAAAATTAAATTTTGCTATTTTTGACTATAAAATCTGTGTAAATATTCATGATCTTTCAAAGAGATTACAGTTTGAACTTTCCACATAAGTAATAATTGTTTTTGAGATACAAATTACTTAATTTTGTAGGTCGAAAAGGGCCCACATTTAGAAAGAAATTAGTACTTCAGTCGAGTTTTGAGTAATTTCTTTAATGATATTTATAATGAGAAAAGATCATTAATTATTTGTATTCCCTTGAAATAAGATGATAAAAAGTCATTGTGATATGTTCACAAAAGCTGAATGAATCTTTAAAGTTTGACAGGTTTTATTATTGATTAATGTGTTTTGCTATGACTTCAGTCTTTGTATGTTTTTATGGCTTCTCATTTCATTGTTTTTTTAAATTTTGCTCCAAGACACATTTTGTTGTTGTATATTATATTGGTTTGATTGCTGATATGAATAAAAGAATTAACATGTACTGAAATATAAAGTAGTGAATGATAATGATATGTCTATTTTCTATATTTCAGATATAAAACCAGAGAATCTATTGATCAGTAAAAACGACACACTTAAACTGTGTGATTTTGGTAAGTAAAACACTTAAACTGTGTGATTCTGTTAAGTAAAACACTTAAACTGTGTGATTTTGGTAAGTAACTAATAAACTATACAAGATATATGTACTTATATGCTTCAGTCATGTGAAATATAATCCATACACAATGTTCATTGCTGTATATGTCCCTGTTATTGTGTTGTCTGACAGCTTACAGCTGGGGGGACAGGAAGGAATACATGTGTCGTCATTGTTGTTACACAATGTTCATTGCTGTATATGTCCCTGTTATTGTGTTGTCTGACAGCTTACAGCTGGGGCGACAAGAAGGAATACATGTGTCGTCATTGTTGTTACACAATGTTCATTGCTGTATATGTCCCTGTTATTGTGTTGTCTGACAGCTTACAGCTGGGGCGACAAGAAGGAATACATGTGTCGTCATTGTTGTTACACAATGTTCATTGCTGTATATGTCCCTGTTATTGTGTTGTCTGACAGCTTACAGCTGGGGCGACAAGAAGGAATACATGTGTCGTCATTGTTGTTACACAATGTTCATTGCTGTATATGTCCCTGTTATTGTGTTGTCTGACAGCTTACAGATGGGGCGACAAGAAGGAATACATGTGTCGTCATTGTTGTTACACAATGTTCATTGCTGTATATGTCCCTGATATTGTGTTGTCTGACAGTTTACAGCTGGGGCGACAAGAAGGAATACATGTGTCGTCATTGTTGTTACACAATGTTCATTGCTGTATATGTCCCTGTTATTGTGTTGTCTGACAGCTTACAGCTGGGGCGACAAGAAGGAATACATGTGTCGTCATTGTTGTTACACAATGTTCATTGCTGTATATGTCCCTGTTATTGTGTTGTCTGACAGCTTACAGCTGGGGCGACAAGAAGGAATACATGTGTCGTCATTGTTGTTACACAATTTTCATTGCTGTATATGCCCCTGTTATTGTGTTGTCTGACAGCTTACAGCTGGGGCGACAAGAAGGAATACATGTGTCGTCATTGTTGTTACACAATGTTCATTGCTGTATATGTCCCTGTTATTGTGTTGTCTGACAGCTTACAGCTGGGGCGACAAGAAGGAATACATGTGTCGTCATTGTTGTTACACAATGTTCATTGCTGTATATGTCCCTGTTATTGTGTTGTCTGACAGCTTACAGCTGGGGCGACAAGAAGGAATACATGTGTCATCATTGTTGTTACACAATGTTCATTGCTGTACATGTCCCTGTTATTGTGTTGTCTGACAGCTTACAGCTGGGGCGACAAGAAGGAATACATGTGTCGTCATTGTTGTTACACAATGTTCATTGCTGTATATGTCCCTGTTATTGTGTTGTCTGACAGCTTACAGCTGGGGCGACAAGAAGGAATACATGTGTCGTCATTGTTATTACACAATGTTCATTGCTGTATTTGTCCCTGTTATTGTGTTGTCCGACATCTTACAGCTGGGGCGACAAGAAGGAATACATTTGTCGTTATTGTTGTTTGTCTTAATTTGTTAATCCTCAACTCTTTCAAACTGTTTGACATGATTCAACTAAACTCACACAGGTTCTACACAGGACATACCATTGTGCTTATAAGATATTGTTCAGTGTAATATTTTGGGTTTCCTATACCAAATATGGATTTTGCCATTCTTACTTGTATTATTTGGGGAAGGCAGGTTACACACCTTTTTTGTAAGACTAAATTATATTTGGAAATATAAACCATACAAAATGTCTACAGCCATATGCTTCAATCATAGAGAAGGAGGCTTCAACTAAAAGATGTTTGTCAAGGCATAAACACATCAAGATCATATGAGGATGGAGCTACTACTGTCTAAGTTTTCATCAAGTCTGTAATGCCCCTGAAGTAAAAACATAAATAAAATTGACACCTTGATGTTCATAAGTTGTTCTTTCATTTTATTAACTGTCACATTTTAGATAATATTGTAGTAATAATGGTGGAAAGGTTGATGACTCTATTTGAATGTTTTAGGTTTTGCTCGCAGTATAAATGCAGGATTAGTTGGTGTATATACAGATTATGTAGCCACAAGATGGTACAGGTCTCCAGAACTTTTACTTGGGTAGGTATAGGCCACAAGATGGTACAGGTCTCCAGAACTTTTACTTAGGTAGGTATAGGCTGCAATATGGCACAGGTCTCCAGAACTTTTACTTGGGTAGGAATAGGCTGCAATATGGCACAGGTCTCCAGAATTTTTACTTGAGTAGGTATAGGCTGCAATATGGCACAGGGATGCAAAACTTTACTTGTGTATTTATAGGCCAGAATATTGACAAAGCTGACAAAACTTTTCTTGGGTATTGATAGGCCAGAATATTGAAAAGGCTGAAAACTTGACGTAGGTATTGATAGATCACAATATCGAAAAGGCTGACAAATCTTGACTTAGGTATTGATAGACCACAATACTGTAAATTCACAAATGATTGTGTGCATTTATTATTGCGATTTTTTAAGAATGGACTAAAATGCAAGATTCATTATTGTGATTTCAGGAAAATTTGTATACAGATACCTATTATGTCTGTTTGTTTTGTTCACACATTGTTGTCAATATAAAGGAATTTTAGGAGACTTTCATACAAGTGAGAGGTTTAGCTAGCTGTGAAACCAGCTTTGATCCACCATTTTCTACATAAGGAAATGCCTGTGGGTGCAATCAACAGTTTTTTTCTATGACGTCATATTTTAAGGGACCATGTCTAAGTGACCCTTAGTGGTGGAATGGTTAATAAAGATACTTGTATAAAACTAGATATCACTGGAATCAGAATTGTCTCTACTTTATATTTAAATAAAAATATAGTGTACTTTTAGTATAGTAAAAAAGTTCTATCCAGAGAAAATGGGGAAAAAGTTGCCTAATCTGAACATAAAAAACCTGAAATCAGCTCATGTGCATACCCATGTAAACATGATACAGGCACATTTCCCATAATCAAAACTGTATGAAATTCATAGGTTTTTACCTGGCCTTTAACAAAAATCATGTTTCAGGGTACGGTTTCCTGCTTCGAAAAGAGCTACAGTGGCTGCAAATAAGTTTTCAATTTTCACTGCCAAAACAAAAGGATGTTTACAGTGTTGTCTCCCCTCAAAACATGTATATTTAATCTAATTTTTAAGATTATTTTAATCATTTAACCTGTTTAAATTGAAAGCTAATTAACTAATTTATACAATCAAATACAAAAAACATGATACTTTTTCACCAATTATATGAATAAAAAGGGATTTCCCTCCATGGTTATTTTTAGTCGGGGAATAACCCCTAGTTTTTTATACGAAACTGTTTATAGCACCCTGTACCAAGTCAGGAATATGACCGTTGTTTTCCATTCGTTTGATATGTTTGAGCTTTTGATTTTGCAATTGATAAGGGACTTTCCGTTTTGAATTTTCCTTGTAGTTTGGTATTTTTGTTATTTTACTTTTTATTTATGTATCAGATGTCAAAATGCGAGTTCTTATTATTGCGATACTCACACAGTCGCATTATTCACATTAATAAAAACCCTGCAATAATTTCTGAATTTACAGTATTGAAAAGGCTGACAAAATTTACTTGAATTTGCATACACAACAGTATGGTACAAGTCTGTAGAACTTTTACATAGATATAACACAGGCAATTATCTCTGTTAATATACAATATATGTTCATTGTCGGAAAGTATAATATTTATTTGTACAATATTTAGAAACAGGACCAAAAACGAGGCTTGCTGAGTAAAAATACATTTTATATTTATCTTGCAATTTACACCCTGCACTTATAGCTTTACTTGTTTAAATCCACATCATTTTGTCGGATTTTTCAAAGAAATCGACATAGCTTAAACACGAACTGCGAAGAGAACCCATTATGAACTGTAACACAAAAAGAAATTTCTACATTACCGCTTGCCCAACATGGAAGCAGGGTAACAGGAAACTTTATTTGTACAAGTACAAATAAAGCAAAAAAAATATTTGTGTATCTATTATTTGTACAAACTTGTATCCCTTTTACTTAATACAAGGTACTCATCTGGCATTTTACTGAAACGACACTTGGTGTGATTTTTTTCTATTTCACGGTCGTCTTTCCCAATAAAACTTATGATAAATCGTTAATCTACATTTATTTCTCTACACAATGGTACAAGCCTTTTCTGTCGGAATAATATGTGGCATGTTATTATTTCTTATCAAGCTTACAAACTGATGGCCATCTTCTGGAAATTAGACCAGTTTATTGAAATATTTGTTTTTTTGGGTAACTGACTAGTATATTCGCTAGTATTTAAACCAGTGTAATAATTTCAATGTGAAGAAAACTTAGTTCTGTTAAAGTCATCACATAGAAGAAGAGGTGTAACAATCAATACCCTAGAAATATTTTTGGTACATTCAAGTATTGCAGTATTTCTGGAAAGATTAAAAACATATATGGTAGTATGAATTTTTCAAATAAAGAAGATATAAACCAGTAATAGTTTAATTTTGGCAGCTTGAGTTAACATACATGCATAAATAAATAAGTATAATATACACACAAAAATATTCATATAACACAATACAAAAGATACACATACAAATAAACTAAATAAAGCTTGCCCAAAAGAAATATTTTTCGTCTAACTCAAACAATTTCAAATCGAATAATAAAGGTACAACCTAACAGTGTGAGTAGATTTCACTCACTTACAAATATATATTATTTTGTCTATTATCTTTTCAGTCAATTTAGCAGACGAATTTCAGATGGTAATTACTGGTTTTTAAATTATAAAAACAAACCCCATTGAACGTTTTTTATCTTATGCTTTATGGAGAGATAAATCTGTTATATTTGATTATTTATCTTTCAGTGCTGCTTATGGTAAACCTGTTGACATATGGTCCATAGGTTGTATACTGGGGGAACTCAGTGATGGCCAACCTCTTTTTCCAGGAGAGAGTGAAATTGACCAGTTATATGTTATACAGAAAATCATGGGACAGCTGACCCCAGATCAGATGAAAATGTTCTACACAAATCCTCGATTTTCTGGTCTTAAGGTAAGAAAGTGTACAACCTGTAAAAATTGTTTGAGAAAACTAACAAAAAAAGGATGTTATTTATACTATAAACTTTGATACTGCCACAGATGAAACAATGATTTATGTTGTACTTTCAGTTTCCTTCTGTAGTCATGCCGCAGACATTACAGAAACATTACCAAGGATACCTGTAATCATGATTTATGTTGTACTTTCAGTTTCCTTCTGTAGTCAGGCCACAGACGATACAGAAACGCTACCAAGGAATACTCAGTGGTGTCTTGATAGACTTTATGGAGGTAAGATTATAAATAAAGCAAGAGTTCACTGTTTTATAGAAGATCAAATTTAGTGTCAGCTTTTCATCTGATAATAAGATAAAAATTTTATTACAAAACTTTTTTTACCAAAAAAAAAAAACCTATGCAAGACATAGAGATGTTGATCTGGTTGCTATGGGCAGGTTATGCAACATAGGGATATTGATCTGGTTGCTTTGTGGAGGTTATGTGAAACAGGGATATTGATCTGGTTGCTATTAGGAGGTTATGTGACACATGGATGTTGATCTGGTTGCAGAAGGAGAGGTTATACAACATAGGGATATTGATCTGGTTGCTATGGGGAGGTTATGTGACACAGGGATATTGATCTGGTTGCTATTTGGAGGTTATGTGAGATATGGATGTTGATTTGGTTGCAGAAGGTGAGGTTATACGACATAGGGATGTTGATCTGGTTGCTATGGGGAGGTTATAGGACATAGGGATGTTGATTTGGTTGCAGAAGGTGAGGTTATACGACATAGGGATATTGATCTGGTTGCTATGGGGAGGTTATATGACATAGGGATGTTGATTTGGTTGCTATGGGGAGGTTATATGACATAGGGATGTTGATTTGGCTGCAGAAGGTGAGGTTATGTGACATAGGGATATTGATCTGGTTGCTATGGGGAGGTTATATGACATAGGGATGTTGATTTGGTTGCTATGGGGAGGTTATATGACATAGGGATGTTGATTTGGCTGCAGAAGGTGAGGTTATGTGACAGGGGTGTTGATGTTGCAATGGGGAGGTGGAATTAGGTCAAGGAACAAGTCTATGCATCAAAATAAACCCCGGATACTGTACAGATAAGGACAAAATCTATAAACATCCTCTTCGTATATTACCGTCTTGTATTAATATTGTTGCGCAAATCTTTATATATAAATATTATTTCAAGATCATATTTTTTAGAAAACATGATTTGTAATGAAATGATTTCCTTGTTTGTTAACAGAATACATTAAAACTAGAACCTGGAGATAGATATACTATTGATGACTGCCTTCAACATCCTGCCTTCCGTACTCAGCAACTTCTCAATCGTAATCAACACATTACCATTAAACGTTTAAACAATCATAGTGCTAGCAAAAAACGCAAAAGTGACTTGACTGACCAAGTTAACAGGTAAATATTTGTATTTTAGTAAAGAAAGAGAAAAAACACACTGATGAGGTCAGAAAATAAAATTTATAACAAAAGAAACGCAAGAGTGACTTAGTTGACTATTAAAGTTAGTGAATCAACCCTTCAAAATATAAAAAAAAAAAACAGCATGCAAAAGTGACCGGCTAAATATTTCAGTAAGTCATGCAAGTGTAGCTCAACTGACCAAGCATTTTCTAAGAAATTAGAAACGATATGTAAGAATGACTTTGATAGCCAAGTCAGTGGTTCAGTACTAACAATTAGTAATAGCATGCAAGAATGATTTATTCGAACACACTTCACTGATCAGGCTCAGTAGAAAACAGTTGCAATAAGAGTCGCTTCCCCTTACAAAGTCAACATGTAAATACAAGACAGGAAAAAAGGTGAATTAAGGAATAACTGTACTGTAGTTGAAGAGTTGCCACCGTCAATTGGCGATTTGATGGTCGCAAACGCAGTTTTACTGGCGACGCGTAGCAGAGACAGTAAAACGGATATTTGCGACCGTCAAATCAAAATTGATGGTGGCAACTCTTCAACTACAGTACTGTTATTCCGATTCTAATGCATTACAAAAAGAAATAATACGTTAGAGCTTGAAAAAATGTATAAATTTGAAATTTAAACAATAATTCCGCGAAACTTCATGAATGATTTTGGCGCAAAGACGTCATGGCTAAACATGAGTCATACAAATAAAAACTTACAAACTGAAGGTTATTTCGTTACTTCTACGATTCAAATTTGGATAAAATCACATCAAAACGGCGATTTTGAGGTAGGTGCTGTTTTATTTTCGATAATATTGTAGTAATCGAACATTTGTTTATCCATGAATTCAAAATGGCGGGTCCCTCCTTAGTTACGACTGGTCAACTGTGGATTTGACGGTAACTTTTAGCCAATGAAAAAAATTGTTACATAAAAATTGCATTAGAATAATTGATTCAACAAAAACATAGTTACTGTAAATTCAGAAATTAAAGTGTGCATTTATTATTGCGAATTTGTCATTTTAGACCAAAATGCGATTATTATTTTTGGGATACTGAGACAAATTCCGCTTCATTCATTTTAAAAAAATCCAAAATGTGAGTTTAAATTATTGCGATTACAACCCTGTCGCATTTTTCACAATAATAAAAACATTGCAATAATTTCTAAATTTACAGTATTTGAACTTTGGTGGATAGTTGTCTCATTGGCAATCATACCTCATCTCCTTATTTTTATATTATACACATGATATACGAAAAAGCAACAGAAAGTCACTTGCCCAATAAACATGCAAATCTAATTTCTAAATATTTGTTTTGTCCATATATGAATATTATTTCACTTTAGAACATCTGTCAACATCTTTAGAATATTCAGACTTTCTACTCATTCGTTAATCTTTATTTAGTTTATCTCAACAACTAAGTTATAATTGTTTATTATTGAATTATTTCTATTTTTTTTTTTTAAGTATTTTACATGATCATAATTGGATACAATAAATGTTGTCTCACATAGAATCTTTTTTTTCATCAAATGATTACAAATAGAGATACAATGTATTAATTAAGATTTTACAGTTTTCTGTGACCATCTTAGTCTTATTTGGAGCTACAAATTGTTTACCGATTTAGGCAAAAGCAGTTTAACAACTATCTTGCTGTTTTCCCTGGAACTTTTATTGATTAATTATCACTCTTGTTTTAACCCTGACCCAAAAAGTGCAAAATTATTGTTTTGACTTGTGTAAATTAGGATAAAGTTAATCCTTTTCTGCCAAAGATAAAAACCAGAGGTCATTTTAGGTATTAAGGTTATACAGAATCATAATACGGACATTTATTTCCTTACAGGAACCATTTTCTATAGAGTAATGGTTGAGTTTAGGGTTAGGGTTAAATTTAGAGTTAAAGTTATGTTTTAAGGATAGTGTTAGGTAAGGGCTGAGAATAGTAGTTAATATATTACAGCCCCATATGGGTTGGGTCCCCTTAAGAAATTGAAGGCCACAATGTAGATGAAATCAGGTTTTGTACTGAAATAATTGATGTTTGTAACAGGGAAATTGTCCATTTATCTTTGGAAATTTGACAAATTCCAGGTTGTATCCACACAACTAACCCTAACCCTAGCTAATATAGGTATGTACATATTGTCATTATAGTCCTAATGTTATGTAAGATATAATATTTGATATTTGTGTTTGTAGTGAAAATTTGAAAAATTTAAGTATGACAAGACCTGGAACAGGACCCAAAAATAATGAGGACCTTAACAAACGACAGGAAGAGAAAATGGACACTGAAGAAGATGTATATACTCCTACACCGGCACAAAGTAAATATATCAAACAGGCTAAAAATGTGTCAAAAAGTAACGCTGATAAACAAAATGGTGAACCCAAAGTCAGAATTGATATAGAAATGATGGAAAAAGACGATAAACGCAAAAATTCTGCTAAACAGAAAGGAATTACATTTGCTAGTCAATCAGAAAATATGAATGGAGAAATGGAACAGGAAAAAATGTTTAACATTGAAAAGTCTGTAGTAGTGCAAAATGGGAGAGCCTCTCCTCCCGCAAAATCAATTATACCACGGACACCAAAAGATAAAAAATTTACCATAGAAAATGTGGATTCTAAAGCCAATGTAGATAAGTTTGAAACAGAAAAGATGTATCAGTTAGATAGAACTAATGCTGAATTCAAATACTTCAACAATGTGTCGTTAGAATCACGGACGGACGTTAGTGAAGACGAAACAATGTCCAAGGACAGCAGTAGTACACCAACAACTGAAGAATTAGACATTTCATTTACAGAATCTAAATACCTCAAGAAAAAGACTTCTCCAGATTTAGATTTTAGAATATATAAACCTAAAGACAGTACTCCTCCCGATCAGCCTCCCCCAACGCCTAGAGATGGCAGGACTAATAATACTTACATATCTACTAATAAACCCTCCACTTATACCGTTAATGTTCAAGCTCCGAATACTCTGGCAGACAAACATGGCAGTCCTCAGCAGGAAAGGAAAAAAGTAAGTCAATATGTTTGTATAACAATCAGAATGTCAACTAAATCTTATTCTTTGTGGACACCTACGATGTTTGATCATGTGGAAATTTATATTTGTGGAACACATTTTACCTGAGATAATTACGGCATGAGTTTATAAACCCAATCCAAGAAAATAAATTTAATAATTTTAACAAAACTGATAAAAAAAATATATGACCCAAAACTTTATAACAGATAGTGGCAAAGGAGAGTTTAATACACGCACCTGCAAAGGTTTGTTTCATTCCACAATTTTTGTTTCTGTATTTTATATTTCCTCATCTTTGTAAATATCTGATGTGTATATTTTGTCTCCTTTTTTATGAAATAATATTTTTTTTTAATATAGCATGTACTATCTATGCAGATGGATTGAAATATAAAATACGTCTTCCATCTTAACATACCAGGTTGACAATACACAATTACTATTGAAATGGGGGAAAAATATGGAAGGAGCTCGTGACCTTGGATGACTTAAACATCGGATAAGTCAAATACTTTTGTTGAATCTCTTGGCTGTATAGGATTTACAATTTGCTAGATTTCAGACACTTAGATTTCAGACATTTTGTTTTGTATTGTTCTTTACCAGATCTAGATACCATAACCATCAAGTTACATATCCATAGACAGTTGTCTTATTGGCTCCTTATAGACTCAACAGTCTCAATAGTGATACATTGGCTAACAGATAAGATATAAAAGCCAGATACTGATAAAAAAATAATAACTTTCATCAGGTATCCTTGAGATAAACTATCAGAAAGCAAAATTTATAAACATTGAACAGCATCAAAACCCAAAAAGGTCTAACCAGTATAGCCACAATTATCTAAGATTTTTTTTTGCCAGAGAGAACTGCAATTTTAGTCCTCAGCAATTACATAATTTCAAAACAAAATGAAAGGATTTAGAAATATTAACATTTATATTTCTGTTTCAGTTCTTAGACAAAGCTATGCAAGAAGAACTCCAAAGAATAAAGTCAAGTACATTAGGTCGTAAGAAGGAAAAACCACACCAGGGATCTTTTATACAGACAATAACAGACAGATTATCTGATGCTAAAGTAAGTAGTAAGGGATCTTTTATACAGTTAATAACCGACAGATTATCTGATGCTAATGTAAGTTGTAAAGGATCTTTCATACGGACAATTACAGACAGATTATCTGTAAATCTTATAAAGTAAGTACATGTTGAAGGCAAAGCAGGACTCTCTTACCTCAAAAATAAAAAAAAGGATTAAATTCGAGATCTTCTTGGTAAATTCAAAAGCATGACATCATCGTCTTTTGATATGAAGCATTCTATTCTCTTTCTCACGCGGATACAGTTTAAAACCTACTGAGATACTGAGTTTACCAAATTACACACATTACAAAGTTTCTTTTTCATAGTGAATGAATATCTATTTGTTCTTCTTACAATGTACATGGAGTCAGTGGACAATGGGAGATAACTCAAAAATTCCTTCAAATATAACACCAATCTCATGAATGAGTTACACCGGCTGACATGACGTCAATCAGCCTAAACAACTTCATGGAACAATTGGTTCTTACTGTGCGTAAAGCATTGTTACATCAGAAAATTTACAGGAAAATGCACGAATTTGAAAGACGTATATACATTTTAGGTTTACAAAGCACAATGAAAAAAATCTTTGCACACTCAGTCCTAACTTGCTTTTAGATATTTGTTTACACAACTGTGTCTCAGCAACATGTATAGAGCCAGTGGCCAAACTTCATACAATACTTTGCAGTGAGGTGAGAGTGGCCTTTCAGTTAATTGCATAGAAAATAATCGCTATCTAGATTTAATTAGTTAAGAATCTGACGATTTTTTGCCAGAAACAGCAATTAGGTCAGTAAATTGTTTAAAACATCATATTTGCATGGATTGTTTTTTTTGTTTTATTTTATTCTCACTTTCATTTTAATTGAATTGAGTTTGAGGTATTAAGTTTCAAGATTTCCTTATTTTACTTAAAAAAAAAGACTTAGTTTTTGGCAGTGAATATTACACTTCTACCTTGACAGCAGCAATAGCAGGCAAGACAAGGGGTTCCACAGAACAATTTACACTATATTTTGCCTTAAATACTGATTTTTTATATTTGATATTAGTTGCAAAATCAAGACACAAACATACAACAGTCCAAGTATAGAGAGAGTAGCTTTATAAACTATGGAGGGAATGGAATGCAGGTCAACAAACGCAGCAGGAACCAGTACTATGGTAGGTGGGGGAAACCAGATAAACTTTGGAAAATTATCTTTTTTTGTCCAGTTAGAATTTACAAAAAAACCTTAATTAATTTATTTTATATTATTTTGCTCATATGATTTATTAAATTTGAATTGCTACTTTTCTAGTGCCATATATAGTTATTATTAGTTCCTTCATAACAAATACATTCCAGTGACCTAATTCCTTTAATAATACTAATGAAATAAGGATGTCTTACATACAGCACTAGTACCTATTGATACAAACCAACAGGTCAGTTGTCTGTTGACTAATAATTTGTAAGTAATATGTACAGAAGTTCAGTGACCCTATATTTGTTTTTAAAGAAACAGTACTTAGATTAATAAACAGTTGTAGTTATGAAGTCAGAATGAAGCCAACTGCAACAATTTGTGTCTCTTGTTTTCATTACATAAAACATAGCTTAATTTTAATTTGCCTAGAGAAACTGATTTCACTATTTATTCTTGTATTTCAAAATAGACGACAACCTTCAGCAAGCTCGTGAAATTCTTATAATGAAAAATGTTCAGAATATCCAGACAGCTCGAGGTACACAGCCTGCAGTGTCTATAAAACAAATCCAGCCTCCTGCTCTTAACAGATCTAAAACACTAGGTTTAATTTTATAATACATTTTGTGTCTGCTTGGTGAATGGCTAGCTTGAAAGGCACAATGTAAAGAGTGTATTTGTTTTAACTTCAATGTCTTGTCAGCATGGTGAATGGCTAGATACAGGGGTACATTTCAGTCAATTGGCATGTTGAATTCACAAGCTAATAGGGTTTACTTGACATTTCCAGCTCATTTAACTGCTTATGGCCATGTGAGCTATTGTCATCACTTGGCTTCGTTAGTTATTCAAAGATCTCCTCGGGATCTGCTGAACCAGTTTAAACCAAACTTGACATGATTGATCATGGGAATGTTTTGATTATTGTCTGTAAATTGAAATTTGGTTTATAAAAGAAAATTACAGTCATGGCCAAAAATTTAACAAAAGGGTACAATGTTAGTAGTTATGTAGTATCTTGAAAACTTTCATGGATGCAGAAAATATGACAAGCTTAAATTGTTAAGAATGTAAAGATCTACCTTTTATTCACTTCTACAACAATTATCTCTATAGAAGTTATAGCCCTTAAATAAAAAAAGTTTTACTCATTTTTGTGGTTTTGCCTTCAACTTGAAAACTATATAATAGATAGAAAAATAACTATAATCAAGAAAGTGATTAGGTATTCCAAATATTAAAATTTACAATATTACTTTAACCAAAAGTGGAGACTCTATTACAGGAGTTGATGCACTTAAATGATGATTTTTCACTAATCAGTGTGTTTGCTTATTATTTTCGTAAATTTAAAAGATAAGCATAAACTGTAAACAGCAAAAGAAATAAGTAATTATACAAGATCTAAAAATAAATAATTAAATGACTCAAACCATCAATTGACCTAAGGAGGGACTTTTTGCACTGAAATGACAATTTTCATCAAATCATAGTATTACTTCTTATTATCTTTGAAAACTATTTAAGATAGACAGAAACTTTTAACAGCAAAAGGAATCACCAATACCATATCTACAATTTAAGTTACATGACCAAAACTGTGTAGCCATGGATCTTTTGACAAGGACCTTGTCTAAATGTTTGTCACAGAGCCTATTGAAAGGGACTGAAACTTATTCAATCTCTGGACCAATCAATGTCAGAGATTGTTTCACAGCTTTTACACTAGTAACGTTTTTCACATGAAGTTGGAAGTGCACATTGTTAATGGTTGATATGTTTATTTAGATGGGAGTGTTACAATGAGGGAATATACTTCACCAAGAAGTCCAACACCAGGTATATTTTGACAGATGTTTGTTCACAACAATGACTTCTTCAAAGTGAATAATATTATACATTTTACTTTAAAAAATCATATTGTATTAAGTTGTTGATAATTTTTAATATCAGACAATGCATTTTGCATAATCTTTTTCTCTTTCTTTATCTTGATTTCAAATTAAGATTGACCACTCAGTAACATCCCTTTTCAGAATATATTGTTAAAAAAGAAGTCATTTTGTGGTCTGTTTTCTGCACAGTATTGATCTGAAACTCTTCACTCCTTTTCTTTTTGTTCTACTCTCTGTTTTGTGCAGTTAGGATCATTGGATTATGGGATAGATCACATGACATAAGTTTAACAAAATAGATGTTATGTGATTGTGCTTTGTAGAATTGCTTTATTGGAACTTAGATCTTTTTATCAGATATAGATATTTTTGTTTAGATTTTCAGGACTGTTTCCAAATGAATATATACATTGTGCTATTATTTTTAAAGTTTATAAATTAATTCAATTCATTATCAATGAATCAATAGGAATAAGTTATTTAATTCTTGGGTTTACAACAGTTGGTTGTTCATAAACTAACTTTTGCCATACACATGCCAACAGAGCTTGTCTGCTTAAGTTAACACTGTATTAATTTGTGTACACAAGAGTTGATTGTTCAAGTTTATTACTGTATTACCTTGTGTACACAAGAGTTGACTGTTCAAGTTTATCACTGTATTAACTTGTGTACACAAGAGTTGATTGTTCAAGTTTATCACTGTATTAACATGTGTACACAAGAGTTGACTGTTCAAGTTTCACTGTATTAACTTGTGTACACAAGAATTGGTAGTTCTAGTTTATGACACACATGCTGTTGTTAACAGAAGTCAGTCATTTGTGTATATAACAGACCAGCTTGTGATTACAGCAGTCAAGTCTTTTGTGTATATAACAGACCAGCTTGTGATTACAGCAGTCAGTCATTTGTGTATATAACAGACCAGCTTGTGATTACAGCAGTCAGTCATTAGTGTATATAACAGACCAGCTTGTGATTACAGCAGTCAGTCATTTGTTGGGTTAACTTGTGTTGAAAGGTGTTGATTGGTCAAGCAAATTAGATATTTTGGTTAAACAAGAACTGATTGGTTGTTAACCACAAGCTAACTTGTGTTATTAAGAGGAGGTTATTTGTTTACTGTTAACAAGGGTTGGTTATTTCTTTACCCAATATTTGCTAATGCTGTTTGAGTTGGTTGTTTGGTAACTTTAGATTTACTTATGTTAACATGAGTTGGTTATTTGATAACCCCTGAATAACTTATGTTAACATGACTTGGTTATTTATTAACCACAGACTAACTTATGTTAACATGCCTAAGTAATTTAATAACTATTAGCTTACTTTTGTTATCATGAGTTGGTTATTTGTTAACCACAGACTCATTTTTGTAAACAAGAGTCAATTCCAGATTAACTTTTGTTAACAAACGTCTGTCATATGAGTTAACCACAGACTTACATGTGTTAACAAGAAAAAGTCTCGGTTTAACCACAAACTTATTTGTGTTGATAAGAGTTATTTGTTCAAGTAAACCCCAGTGTTACTAGTGTTAATAGAAGTTAAGTGTTCAAGTAACTAACATACTAACTTGTGTTAACAGGAGATTATGGTCTCAGTTAAAATTGCTTATTTTTGCTGATAAGATTTGATTTGTAAAGTTGGATAATTTTACATTTATGTTAGGAAAAGTAGATTGTTCAACTTAATTGTAGACTTACTGATGTTAACATATGTTAGATGTTTAAGTTAGTTAGTTGATTAGGTTAACCCTACTCTTTCTTGTGCTTACAAGATTTGTTTGTTTGAGTTAACCTGACATACTGTTGTCAACAAAATCTCTTCATTTGAGTTAACCTGACATACTGTTGCCAACAAAATCTCTTCATTTGAGTTAACCTGACATACTGTTGCCAACAAAATCTCTTCATTTGAGTTAACCTGACATACTGTTGCCAACAAAATCTCTTCATTTGAGTTAACCTGACATACTGTTGTCAACAAAACTCTTCATTTGAGTTAACCTCAGACTTGCTTCTGTAGACATTGATTTGTTGTTCAAATTAACTCTAACTTTTAATGTTCTTTTGATAACAGCTGTTGATTGTTAACCAAACTTAATTTTATCAATAAGAGTTAGTTATTTGAGTAAGATTTATGTGTATTAACAAAGACATGGGTTATACTAATGATATGAATTATCACAGTAGTTTATTTGGTAATTTCAGGATCTGTAACACTTAGCATTGTGGGTAAATATGAAATGTATCTAAGGAAAGAGGGAGAAACTATTGAATGATGACTTACAATCAGTTATTGGAAGTGGGGATAATTAATTTAACACTACTGTCAGGGAGAACTAATATTCTGTTTCTTGGATACATCCCTTATATTTTTAGAAGTTCTCTTTACTATATATATAATATATGGCACATTTCTTTCTGTAAAATTTGAATTTTATCTTTATATTGAGAATGATCAATGTTCACCTTTTGATAAAGTTACTCATCTTTTTCTTTGTCAGTTTTACAGACTAAGAGCCATTGGTTTAGCCTTATAAAAGTTCGATCTCAATATGAGCATCCTTAAGCTGTTCTGAGATACTGATTTTAAATGTATTTCAGAGAGAATGACTATGTGACATAAGATAAGAAAGTTACATGAATCATATTTCATAGTGCTACTGGTTCTGATACTTTGTAATCTTTAATTTAGAGTTTTAAGGTGTTAAAGTTTATATGTTTGTCTGAGATCAATTATCGAATGTTCAAGGCTAAATTTAGTGCAAGAGGTCAATCCACTGGTGTTAAAGGTTTAGTTGTTTGTAATAGTTCAGTTTCCTGGTGTTCAATGCTAAGTATAATGCAAGAGGTCAATCCTCTGGTGATAAAGGTTAAGTTGTATGTCAAAGTCCAATTTTTTGATGATAAAGGTTAACTTTAATGTAAGACTTCAAACAACAGATTACATTTGCAGAATTTTTATTTATTTTTGGTTACATTTTATGGCTGTTTACCTACAATCATGTAGCTAGGCCCAGTTCTAGAAGAGACATATTTTATTGATTACAATAAAATGCAGTAGTCAGGTTATATATTTACTGTATTTAATAATGCACTCTCCATCCTTGATGTTGATGCTTTGCTTCAGTAGATCAGAACTACTATGACATATTTGGCCAGTCTCTGTTATCTTGCCTTGCACCAAATATTGATAGATGCTTTGTAGAATTAGGAGTTACCATTTATTACTGCCTGCAGTCATTTAATACATTGCCTTCAAGGAATTACATAAATATTGCTTTTTCAGGCTAACCTTTTAAAATTGTTATGTTTCTTGAACTACAAGAACTAGCATTTAAAAAAATATTAATTTATAATATTGTAAACAGAATGTGAGGGCCGTCAACGCTGTACAATATGTCAATGAGATATTAGCTAATCTAAGATGAAATACTCGAGTTATTTTAGAGCATTTATATTATATTTTTGTATAGTATCCATACTTATCAGTTTAGAATTTAAACATTGACAGACAACACATTATTACCCATGCTATGTTAATAGGATCATCGTTGTAGTCACTTTTCATCAAAGTAATTTAGTTGATAATTAGTAATCTTTTTGTTAAACTGTAGAAGAAATATCCAGATATTTATATGCATGCACTTTATAGGACAAATGTCATTCTTAAGCAAGAAATCAGATTACTGAAATCTTTGCAGGAGTTCATATCAACCCTATTTGTCTTTAGGATTAAATATAAGGGGTAAAAGGGGGGGGGGGGGGGGGGGGGGCACTTTAATCGTTTTGTGGGAGAGTGATTTAAAATCAGGTATGCCACCCTTTTCACAGATTTAGAAAATCCAAAATACATTCCTTATCATATATTTTTTGAATAAAATAAACACATAGCTATATTACTATATCCAAGGACAGTTAAAATAGACTTGATAAATGTCAGATCATTTAACAAATAATTTTAATCACATCCTTTCACATCCTTTCAAAAAAGTTTCAGATACTTAGGATATAATCAGCAACCTTATCATGTATTTAATCAAAATTTCTCGCCCCTTTTCATATAATTATGAAGCTTGGAAAAGTGACCTATTCCAACAGCTCATCACATATTACTTAGTATGTGATGTGGCCTATGCTGAGCTGTACAGCATGATTTACACTATATCACATAATACATAGGTGTAAGACAGGGTTTAGCAAACTTTATTTTGTTTCACTTTTGGCATTTGATGATATTTTGTTGTTGTTAAATTTTATGTTATGATAGTCATATATAACTTGTATATATATTGCTAGAATGTAATACACAGATATGTTAACTCTTACTTATGTTAAATTCCTTCTCATAGTTTTTATAAGGCTTCATAATGATATAGTTTATTGTTTGTTCTAGATATTGGTTTCCACAGAGAACCAACCAATCAAGCAGTTCAAGCTAGACCACATACAAAATACATGAACCTGAACCCTGAACCAGTGACATCACAGACGACCTATAATAATAGAACTTATGGTCAAGAGACTTCATGGTAGCTATTTACACAACTAACATATCATAGATATAAGAAGATGTGGTATGAGTGCCAATGAGACAATTCTCCATTGAATGTGTAAAAAGTAAACCATTATAGGTCAAAGTACGGCCTTCAACATGGAGCCTTGACTAACACCGAACATTAAGCTATAAAGTGCCCAAAAAATGACTAGTGTAAAACCATTCAAACAGGGAAACCAACGGTCTAATCTATATAAAAAACGAGAAACAAGAAAGACTCATAAACCACATCAACAAACGGTTTACAACCACTGAACAACAGGTTCCTAACATATCAACATCTTATAAACAGACAAGTTTTTGCTATGATTGCACAGCATAACTAAAATATATAAAAAATTATAAATCAGACAGTTACATAGCATAAAAATATATATGTATCATGACAGAAAGGCAAAGTCAAAATTGGTTAAAAAAAAAGATGTTTTAAAAAATCTATATAAAAAACGAGAAACGAGAAACACTTATGAACCACATCAACAAACGACGAACTACTGAATACTTGTTTTGTGTAGTACTTGTGCTGTATTATTTTAATTTTGCAACAAAGAGCCAGAAAATAAACTTTTATTTTTCCCCCTTAAAATCTGACAAATTGTAATCATGACATCACTTTCAAGGCCATTAGTTGTCAAATTCATCTTCACCCTTTCCACTCAAATTCTCATATTTGATTTATAACAAAATGAAGTTTGTATGAATACAGATTCAAATGAGATTGAATTATTGACTTGCAAGCCAATAATACATCAGTGATGTTTTTAAGCAAATTTGAACCAAAATGACTGCAGATACTGGAAATATTATTTCACAGTTCCGCTTTTATAAATGTTTGGAATAAAAAACAAAAAAAATCATATTTTATTTTTTTTTAAAACTTTTTATCTAACGATGTTACAGTAAAATTGTGCCATTAAGCTTCAGCTAACTTAAACATTATCTGAAAACCTTATTTTAAATTTGAATGTGATTGAAAACAGTATAGTGTGGTATTTTATTTTCTATTAATGTACATTGTGAACTATTTACCAATATTTATTTTTAGGCGAATTGTTGATAACACTTTTACCAATATCTATTTTTAGGCGACCTGTTGAAAACACGGAACTACATTCAGGTTCTGTTATGCATCAACTTGCCAAGAAAAAAAAGAAAAAGAAATTTTTACAGGTATTTGTTTTATCTAGCGTGATTCTCACTTTCGTAGACAAAAAAAGACAGAGAAGATACCAAAGGTGCAATCAAACACCTTAAGTCAATGAAAATAGGCAGCATAAAGCTCTAAATAAAATAATGAAAATGGGCAGCACAAAGCTCTAAATAAAATAATGAAAATGGGCAGCACAAAGCTCTAAATAAAATAATGAAAAGACTGAATACACTAATAAAAACTGAAAGCTAAACACTGAGAAAAGGAAATACCACAAAAACCTAGATGAACACACAGGCTCTTTTCACAAAAAAACCTAGATAACTTGTACTGAAATGTTCATGAATTTTTTCTCTTTTAAGTTTTTTTGTGACATTCATCGCAAGTTAATTCTTAGGAAGGATCAGCAATTCTTGTGATTAGAAAATGATCTTGTTTTCTTTGGCAGTCCTGTTTAGCTTACTTGACCTAAAAGTAACATTAGTAATTATTGGCATAACTTTGTGTCCCTCATTTTCATTTGTTGGTTTATAACCTTTAAGGTGGCACTTTAAAAAAGGTTTGGGCAAGAAACATATGGTGTCTTGAATAAAAAATCTTCTGATGTTTACAGCAATCAATCAAAATGGCTACTGTAAAGTGGTATATATTTGCTGAGTTAAAATTTACTGAGTTTTATCTTACCAATTTCCTTATGGTAAAACTATCAAGAGCTATAAAGTATTAGAAATTTCTAAGAAATAGATTCTTCTTTTATACTTGAATCAGTTCAATCTAAATTAGAGTTGAACGATTTCTTTGTCATTACAAGCTACACTAAATGATTGCAGATTAATGATTCAGTTTACTAGGATCCTGCAGTTTATTTAAATTTGAATTTTATATTTTGAAATGAACATGAGCATAGAATTTGGTTTTGTACATTAGGACCAATACTGTTCTATTGAGTTTGTTATTAAGGAAAGTTCATCTTTCTTAATGTTTGGGAAGATGTTGCCCCTTGGCGCTACTAGTTGAAGGACAAGGAGATAGGTGACGAGAACATAAATACAATTCTCTAGCCTCCTGTAGACAGTATTTGTGTATTGATTTTTCAGATATTAGCCAATGATAATATGGGAAGAGTAACTCCAACCAGTCGGTTTAATCCGTCACGGACAACAAGTCGGATAGATTTTGATCAGATGGATGAGGATTCCTGTGAGGCTCAGATATCTGCCAGAGAACCTCTACAAAACAGAGATTACATGTCAAAGGATATGTATGAAAGCAAATACGGCAAACAAATATCACTACGGAAAAGAACAAAGACACCAATAGACAAGGTGATGATTAAGGCTCATAGTGATAAACCTCATATATGATAACATTTTGAAATTAGAACTCCAGTTTTGTACAGAATTTTAGTGGCATTCTTGATTTGTCAAAATGTTTATTCCCAACACTTTACATAAGCTTCTAACAAAAAATGATACATGTATTGTTAAGATTAAAAGATATTTTATTTCTAGGATTGGGGGCTATATAACATTCACTTTATGTCCAGTCTTTAAACAAATATTTCCTTCAAACTTTTCTCAGGTAATACAGTACTAAAGAAGAGTATTAATTCATATTACAGTACTAAAGAAGAGTATTAATTCATATTACAGTACTAAAGAAGAGTATTAATTAGTCCCCTACCGATGAAGTCGAAGGGGACTTTAGGTTTGCACTCTGTCCGTCTGTCTGTCCGTCCGTCTGTCCATCCGTCAGTCCGGCAAATCAGCTGTCCACACTTTTTTTCTTCGTTCTTGAAGATATTGATTTGATACTTGGTATATAGTTTTGCCATGACAAGTTATAGATCAAGTTCGAATTTTGTTCCGGTCTGATGATTTAGTCCAGAGTTATGGACCATAACTCTGGACCATATCTAATGTTAGAGTACTATGTTAAACCATATTTCTGTACAAAGGGAGATAACTCATTTTTTAAAAGACATTCTTTGGTAAATTATTTGAAGAATTTTTTGGCAGGTTTGTTTTTTATTTTGTATAAACTAATTTTCTGAATGCTATATATATATAAAAAAAAATTATGAAGTGAAATCCTTTAATTAGATAATAATCTATTTTTATTAATGTATATATTGCATTACATTGTGTAGATAAAAATTGTTGACATTTTATAGATAAGTTACAAATCTATATTAGTTTGTGACAAATAAAAGAAAAAATATTTGGAACTATTAATTATATTTGATTATAATTTGAAAAATAGATATACACTGTATTACATCATATCTAATTTTAGAGAACTATTAATCATATCTAATGTTAAAGTGTTTTCCCCACTTTTTTTTTATCATGCTTGAAGATATTGATTGATAATTGGTATATTTCCTTTCTCTATTGGAACTGTATACATATACCTTACAACAAAATTATTTTCATTTACCTGTGTTTAAAGTTATTGCAAACGGCTGATATTTTTGTTCGAGCAGATTGTTTTTCTTTAATTGTTTAACATTTCATACCGATATAACATGTTACTTTTATTATTCTTCCCTTAGTTTATTTATTTCGTATTTACATTGTATCATAGGTCAAATTTATTTGTTCAGTGTATGTTCAATGGTGTTAATATGATTGAGTTAAGCTATTTCAGTTGATATTTTATAGTGTGTCTTTCTATGTTGTGATGTTACACTATTGTTTCAGAAAAAGGGTGAAGGGTTTGGTACCATTAAAACGTTTAAACCTGCTGCATTTGTTTGCACCTGTCCTAAGTCAGGAATCTGATGTTCAGTAGTTGTCGTTTGTTGATGTGGTTCATAAGTGTTTCTCGTTTCTCGTTTTTTATATAGATTAGACCGTTGGTTTTCCCGTTTGAATGGTTTTACACTAGTAATTTTGGGGGCCCTTTATAGCTTACTGTTCGGTGTGAGCCAAGGCTCCGTGTTGAAGACCGTGCTGTGACCTATAATGGTTTACTTTTATAAATTTTGACTTGGATGGAGAGTTGTCTCATTGGCACTCATACCACATCTTCTTATATCTATATAGTTTTATCATGACAAGTTATACAGATCAAGTTCGAAATTTTGTTTCGGTCTGATAATTTTGTGCAGAGTTATGGTCCTTGGACTTGAAAAATTCACTCATTTAATCAGTTTTCCACACTGTTTTTAGTCATGATTGAAGATATTGACTTGATTTTGTTTACACCATGACAAGTTATATAACAAGTTAGCTTTTTGTTCCAGTATAATGAATTTTTACCCGGTAGGGGACTATGTATTGCCATGCAATACTCTCAGAATGCTTGTTCATATTACAGTACTAAAGAAGAGTATTAATTCATATTACAGTACTAAAGAACAGTTCATATTACAGTACTAAAGAAGAGTATTAATTCATATTACAGTACTAAAGAACAGTATTAATTCATGTTACAGTACTAAAGAACAGTATTAATTCATATTACAGTACTAAAGAAGAGTATTAATTCATATTACAGTACTAAAGAACAGTATTAATTCATATTACAGTACTAAAGAACAGTATTAATTCATATTACAGTTCTAAAGATCAGTATTAATTCATATTACAGTACTAAAGAACAGTATTAATTCATTTTAAATTGAATTGTTTTAATTGTTCAATATGCTGAAGGAACTAAACACATGTTCGTGTATGAGTATTCATAACAGGTTTTAAGAAACTAACAATTTGGTGTTCAAATTCATCGTGGAGTGACTGACCATCGTCTTTCATAATGATCCCTGTATTTACATTGGTATAAATTTACAAAAGATCAACAGTATCATCAATGATTATTTATAATGAATTCCATTATTCTTATACTTACAGAATCCTCGATTACAACCATTACAAAAATCATCTGGAGTTCATCTACTACATCTAAATACCCATCAATCAACATTGACAGGGATGGACCAAGTTTGGCATCACAATAAATCTGAATCAGACACACGCCTTACAGGGGTGGACCTTAGACCAGGCTGGTTATCTAGGCCTGGGTCCGTATTAGACGATAATCAGGACTTTTACTCACCACGAGAACCGGGGGAATTAAGACCTTTAAAAAGTGGAAAGGGCAAACCACACATTGATTATAGAGGCAGGGATAACACTTAAATGTATGTCATATGTTTTGTAGTAGAATGAATGTTCAGCAAGGACAAATGAAGGAAGGAACGTCGTTTCAGGAAAGAAATCTTAATAAGATCAAATAAAACTGATCTTTCTTGTAAATGCCTGACCCAATTTACCAAATTTTGTAAAGAGAAATAAAAAGAACTTGATTAAAACTGTTAATATAAAAATCCTTAATATTCTATTTAAAAATTTTCAAGCTATCTTCCATTTGGATATGGTCAAGCTATCTTCGGGTCCGAGATGGTAAAGAATTATCTTTCATTGAGAGATGGTCAAGCTGTTTTCCATTGGGAGATGGTCAAGCTATTTTCTGTTTGAGAGAAAGTACAGCATTATTTGGAGATGGTCAAGTATTGGAACTTTGATAACCTTTTTTGACAATTACTAACAATAACACTACCATATTTGGAGTAAAAGTAATGTAAATTTCTGTGATTAAAACAATGTTAGTATACTGATACTATATTATGAACCACTTATATTGAGATTATAAAAGAAAGAATCAAAGTTTAACAACAAATGGGAAATATTTGCCTCTTTTTTATGTACTTTAGTACATTGACTTGTAACAGCCTTCATTGTATGATAGTATTAAAGTGATTGTATCATAGACTGATGATTGGAGGGAGAATATCATTTCTATAATAAAGTATATATTACCAAAGTATATTGTAATAATATTGTCAAATCTAATGGATTGATACACACTACAAAAGAATGTAGAGAAAATTTCCTAAATTAAGATTCTTACCATGGATAAGTACCTTTATTTTATTTAAATATCAATACTTTTATATGCTGGTATTTATTTTACTACATCCAATTTGGGTTTGTATCAAACATTTGATGGAAATTTGAAATATAATGTATAAAATTGTCTGCATACCTGACATCAGAACTTCTACTCAAACCAATGCATCAATGTAGGGGCTGTCTTAAAATTGCAGCGAAGTGATTGTTTTTGCTCTATGATGAAGACCTGACTGTGACTTTGAGATGAAGAACAGCAATCATAATGCTGTTTCCTTGTTATGGTGTTTTTATGTATGAGTAGTGATTTTGTGTCATAAATTTATACACCATATCCTTTTCTTTTTCATTTGAAGAGAACAACCCCTTGGTCATTTAAGTAAAGGCATGTGAATCTCAGAAGGAAGAAAATTCAAGTGATCTCATACTTTTGTAATAACTGTTTTTATTTCATTTTTAGTCACAATAAACAAAGTCGTTAAAGGCTGAATTGAAATATTTAGGAGAGCATTTTTGACCACTTTATTGTCCCCAGCATAACGTGTGGCGGGGGACATGGAAATACCGGGCGTCCGTCCAGTCTTGTTGGCGCTCTCACGGGGACAACTCTTGCCAGATTTTTATAGAACTTGTACTATAGGTTAATATCAGCAATATCTCGGACAAGTTATATAATGGTGGCCGATCAACTTTTTTATAAAAGAGTTATGCCCCTTGGAAATATTAAATTTATGGAAAATGGCCTCATTAGCGCTCTCACAGGTACAATTCTTGCCAGATTTTTATAAAACTTATACTTAGGTAAATATCAGCAATATCTCGGACAAGTTCTCTAATGGTGGCCGATCGACTTTTTTTAAAAGAGTAATGTCCCTTGGAAATATTAAATTTATGGAAAATGGCCTCAATAACGCTCCAAAAAAAAAGTGTTTTATTTAGTTATTGCCCTTGTACCTTGGATAGATAAAATATGTGCAATGCGGGGGACATTGGAACTCTGTTCTTTTATTTAAGATTATAAATAGAGAGCTATTTTAGGTAATGAAAAAAGTGCTATTTATGTGGAGCTCTCTGTAAAATTAGTGATAATGTCATGAAGTGGACTAAATTGTCTCTCCTTCCTTGATAAAAAATATTATTGATTTCATAATGAAATAGTGGAGTTTCATTATTCTTACAATTAAAAATTTTGTCACAGAACATTTTGGATCCTAGGTTGTGGTTCTAAAGCTCTTAGGTCCATTAAATGCAAAAAATCAACATATAATGACAACATCTCCAAAATGTGCTGGTTTTGAATCCCATGATGTATATTTTGAAGAGATTGTTTTAACATAGCATCAATTTGTGGCTATTGAAATGGATTCATTTAAGAACCAAATTGTGGCCTTTTTGGTATACGGGTACATGATGAAGTTGAAATTACTAACCATATATCCCCAAAAGTGAACTTGTTCTTTCCACATTGTGTAATGATTTCCTGTGAACTGAAATTGTCACTAAATTTTTCTGTGACTGACCATCATTGACCATCATGTATGCAGATAATTTGTACAGATATATGAATTGTGTTCATTTTATTTCATTATTGCTGAAATGCTTTAACTTGTATCTTGTGATATCAGTTTTATACAACATCTAGTGTTTAACTTGTATCTTGTGATATCAGTTTTATACAACATCTAGTGTTTAACTTGTATCTTGTGATATCAGTTTTATACACCATCCAGTGTTTAACTTGTATCTTGTGATATCAGTTTTATACAGCATCTAGTGTTTTGATAATAGTACCTAATAGACATATGTGATATAGAATTTATACAGTTTTATATTTTGTTTTATCATATCAAATTGTTGCTTTTATTTATTTGTAAAATGGCCATGAATTTTATTGTTTTATAAATTTCCTTATTCTGATAGTGTTATAGATTGAAAATGTTTGTAATCTTTGAACCAAACTTGGGGACAAATTTTAAGCAGCATCATTTTGAAGATACACTCCATATATGAATCATGTTTGACATATTTGTAGTCACAAATCAAATAATATTTTCAGTATAGCTGACCTACTTTTAACCTATTTTAAGGTTATCTGATGACAAGCAAAGGCCATAAGAAAATTGTGATAAAATTGTTTTGATATATTCATCAGTTAACACATACTAGATCTGAATGATACCAAGGTCATTTCTGGAAAAATATATCTGTTAATGGCAGGTCATTTATTGTTTCTTTTTAATTTTAGGACTTGGATGTTTTGAACTTGACATATTGTAAAGTCACCTGTCTTGTTGAAGACTGTATGTTGCCCTCAAGATTTTTTTTCCCTAGGGTTGCGGTCTTATTGACACATACCCCACATCTTCGTAACATATATTTTTTTTAACAGTTTATTATTTATTTCATAGATGCATGATTCATTTATGGACTGATACTTCTAAAAGGCTCTATTCTAACTGATCTATAGTAACAAGCATTATATTTACACACAGTATACTCAGTTTATGGAAATCTTCAGTATTATAATTTATATGTATGTGATTCTACCTCAGTTAAAAAGGATCCATTGCTTTAATATTATCTAAAAACTTATAACTTAGTGAGATAGCATTTTACAACTTGTTTTATTGGAGATTAATCAGAAAGAAATATTATTTTCGAATGAATTTAACTCAGGTTCTTATTCTGTTTCATATGAGATTTTAGTATTACATTTCTACAAGTACTTTTTCCTTTAGTTTATACTCAGTTACACATATCACTTTAAACCTTAGAACTACTGTAAACTGTTTTCTAACACAGTGACAACTGTTGTATCTTTTGCAGCATTTTCCATGTATTATCATTTAGGTATGTTATACTGATTCTCTATATACATTATTGGTATCTCTTTATTTTTAAGACATTAAATCTAATGAGTAAAAACATCAATACATTTGTTGAAGTAGTATCTCAGGATGTTTTGAAAGGAAATAAGCATTGAATTTATACATTGACAGTTTTCTCTTTAAATGCAAAAAAAAATGTCTATATACAGTCCAGAAAGTATAACCTTGTAATAGATGACTTTGATACATACTAGATTAATTTATATGCTGCAACATTGTCCCTATACAAATATTTATACATTGAAACCGTCCATAAATATTTATGTGCCATTGTTATATTAAGGATGAATAAATTAAAATGATACTAATTTTTTGTTGTATTAATTTTGTCTCCCTGAAGGCCACACATAGATGTTGCTTTCCGGCGTCTGAGGCAGCTGTTGGAAAAGATGAAAAAGAGAAAAGATCCTTTCTTAAACTTTCCTTTGCCAACAAAGGTCGTGATGCCATCAATTTGAGCAATATCCTTCATCATAAATTAGTTCACTCAATACCTCCCTATTTTAAAGATCAGTCTGTACCTATCATTTCTTATACCTATACCAAACCAATTGCAACTGCAATTTTCAATTACAAACACGTGTTGCAGGATCTCAATATTGACGACTTCAAGTCTAAACCTCCTTATTGCACCTGTGCTAGTTCCCCATTCATATATAATCCGGCTGGCCAGGTTATTACTGGTGACCCAACTATTGTCAATAACACTTCTCTGCGAAAAGTGTTATCCAAAGGCCCGAAACATCATGAGCCTAAATCCATCAATTGGATACACAACTTCAAAATACTGATGGATTCAGTCGAGGATTATGCTAGGCAATGGGTTAAACGCGAGAAAGAAGACGTAGATACTCTTTCCGAATGGATTAAGGCTGTGAGGTCGTTGATACAAATCAGAATTAAGAAACTGAATGGGTCTATTAATACCCATGCTACATCAATCTTTAAAGACCCAAATGTTGCTAAACACTTGTCCTACCTCCATGACAAATATGTTGTTGTCCCCGCAGATAAAGCCTTAAACAACATCGTTTTTGTGTGTAAATCACAGTACATAAACTGCTTGATAAATGAATTAGGTATTGACAATTCACTTGGAAACTCAACATATACCCCCAAAACACTTACTAAAGAGGAAATCCTGGATAATCATAGGTCTGTTCTATGTTCCTTTGGAATTTCAACCAAAGATGAAGAACTGGATCTTCCATCACTGTATTGGATACCTAAACTACATAAGTGTCCTTACAAACAATGGTATATTGCTGGGTCTTCAAAGAGCTCCACAAAATCTCTTTCTAAATTATTAACATCAATTTTATCAGCAATCAAAGCCGGGCTTCATAGTTATTGTGAAACTACCTTTTCAAGAGGTGGCATGAATCAGATGTGGATACTAAAAAATTCCAAAGATCTTTTAGAGTACATACAATCTAAGACTCTTTAATCTTTACACAAGTATTCCCCATTCCAAACTAAAAGACAAATTGAAAGAGTTGGTCCTGCTTTGTTTCTTAAAAAAGAATGGCCAGCGTAGATACAAGTATCTGCTCGTAGGGAGGGAAAAATCCTACTTTGTAAAAAATCACTCTGATTCTAACAAAAAATTCTCTGAAACTGACATTATCAAGATGCTTGATTTCTTGATTGACAACATATTTGTTACGTTTGGAGGACGTGTTTGTCAACAAACAATCGGCATTCCCGTGGTAACCAACTGTGCCCCTCTTCTTGCCGATTTGTTCCTTTATTCATATGAGGCTGACTTCATACAGGAACTTCTTAGGAAGAAAGAAAAGAAGTTAGCAGTATCCTTTAACTTTACTTTCCGCTACATAGATGATGTTCTCTAACTAAATAATTTTAAATTTGGTGACTATGTTGAACGCATCTATCCCATCGAACTTGAGATAAAGGATACAACAGATACAGTTAAGTCTGCCTCATATCTTGACTTACATCTAGAAATTGACAATGAGGGTCGGTTGAACTTTATGACAAAAGAGATGATTTCAGCTTCCCAATTGTGAACTTTCCATTTTTATGTAGCAACATTCCAGCAGCGCCTGCATACAAAGTATATATCTCCCAGTTGATACGATACTCCAGGGTTTGTATTTCCTATCATGATTTCCTTGATAGAGGGTTGCTGCTCACAAGGAAGCTATTAAACCAAGAGTTCCAAGTGGTGAAGTTGAAATCATCCCTTCGTAAATTTTACGGACGCCATCACGAGTTGGTTGACCGTTACGGAATATCCGTTTCACAGATAATAGCGGATATGTTCCTAATGTAACTACAATCCCGTCCCCTTTTCCCGAATGTGACCTACCGAATTAGACTTATTACCGTGTTTGTACTAACATGAGCAACACGACGGGTGCCACATGTGGAGCAGGATCTGCTTGCCCTTCCGGAGCACCTGAGATCACCCCCAGTTTTTGGTGGGGTTCGTGTTGCTCAGTCTTTTGTTTTCTATGTTGTGTTTTGTGTACTATTGTTTGTCTGTTTGTCTGTTTGTCTTTTTCTTTTTTAGCCTTGGCGTTGTCAGTTTATTTTCGACTTATGAGTTTGAATGTCCCTTTGGTATCTTTCGCCCCTTTTCCTGTTGATGGCTGGGTCTTTGTCAATTGGGGCGTCAACAATGTTAAGTTTTCTGCTTAAATCAGTTTGATAGGAACTACTTGTGGTAGATCAAAAATATTTTCTAAAAAGTTGCATAACTATCAGTTCACATCAGTTTGACGACTATTTCGAGGCTCTGCTCCCTGCAGGTCATGGTCTAACAACTTTTAAATAATTACCAATTTTCAATGTTAAGTTTTCTGCTTTAGTTAGTTTGATAGGAACTTCTAATGATATGTCAATGATATTTTCAATAAAGTTGCTTAACTATCAGAGCACATATCAGTTTGATGACTATTTCGAGTACCTGCCCCTAGGTCATGGTCAAGTGACTGAATTAATTAGCAATGTTGCTGTCCATCATATTGTCTTTTTGTGAATTTAATGTCGACAGGCGAGACGTATCTCCGTGTCAACAGTTTATTGTTATAAATCATATGTTATTATACCAAATCTCCAAAGAGGGAGAACACTAGTTTACCCCTGTTCATCTGTCTGTCTGTTTTACATATCTGTTGCATTTTCCCCAGCAACTACAAGTTATAGCGTCTTGATATATTTCAAGTAGCATTAACTGGTTATTCCATACCATGTGACTGGTCCTTAGTTTCTTTTATATTCTACTGCCTGTTTACTATGTTGGTTTACTGGTTCATCCATTGAATAACACATTTCTGTTGCATTTTTCGCAGTGACTACTGATAATAGCTTCTCGTTATGAAGCTCCAGAAAAATACTCTTCCATTTTTCTGATTTTCAATCTCCAATCCGAAATTTTGATTAGTTTGAAACTTTACTTAATATGAAAAATATCTGAAAAATATGAGGACCCTTGACAACAGATTAACGATGATCATCAAAACGAGGCACGAGGGTTGGCTGCCCCCAGTTCCCAAGCATATATCTGCTTACAGCTCTCATAATAACTCTTAAGTATAAAGGAACGCTTATGTCAACTGTAAGAAAAATATAATCAAGTATTTACTCAAATATATTCAAGTGGTCTGGTATATAGGAGATTTTCGTACCAATTTATAAATTAATGATAAATATTGCTTCATCGAAATTTGCTGTTAAAATTATGAAAAAGTAAAGGAAGGTATCATTCTTATGTATAGCTCTGATTCCTTGTTAGTGTTTAGTTATATTTTTGGCGTCTTATGGTTGTTCTAGCTCTTCAGCGTTTGAATTGGATTTTGGATTTTCAAATATTTTGGCCCAAAAAGACATTGTCAAAATGTGCATATGGTGTAGTAAATTTGGTACCTATAATGTTATTGACCACCAAACATAACCGAGGGACAACAATTGTATGCATACTAGCTTTTTGGGTCAGGTGAGATATAGAGAGTTTGTCAAGAAAAAACAAGAATCACAAGAATTACTGACCCCGTTCTATTTTAAGTTCATCCTGATTTTGGCGTTCTTTACATTTTAGATTGTTGTCTTCCCATTGTTTTTCTTTTTGCTGTAGTGTTGTCTATGAAAAAAACTCAGAAGTGACGCTTGACTAAAACAAGTTAAAATACGTAGTTTAAGATCATTAAGGATAATAAACCCCGAATTACAGCTTATGTAAACCTTTTCATGGGGTAGAAAGCCCTTGATATTTTGTACAATTAAAAGTTTTGTAAACCATTTTTAAATATAATCATACCAATGATGGTCCATGTCAACAGAGAAGTGCTGACTACTGGGCTGGTGATGTTTCTTTTTCTGTTATTGTTCAGTCTAAAACACATTGCACAAACATATGCCTATTATAGTCTACATACTCATGTTTTCTTACAATGAAAAATAAAAATTGTGTGCACAAATGAATCAGAGATATTTTCCAAGGTCTGTCATTATATATTTTAGTCAGTACTTGCATCTCATATATCCCAGTGAACTTGAAATTAAGGATACTACTGATACTAGAAGGACTGCTTCATACCTTGATCTTTTCCTCAATATTGAATAAAGGCAACAGTAGTATACCGCTGTTCAAAAGTCATAAATCGATTGAGAGAAAACAAATCCTGTTTACAAACTAAAACCTAGGCAAACACATCAACAATAAGAGGAAAACAAAGGAACAACAGGAACACTGAAGTGAAACAAAAACAAACGCCAATATACATAAAACGATCTGTTTGATAACAAATGCCATATTCCTGACTTGGTACATGACATTCTAAGAAAAATGGTTGGTTGAACCTTGTTTAATGGCTTGCCAAACCTCCCGCTTATATGGCAATGTTAAAAAATATCGCTTAAATGACAACACTGCGTGACAGAAATACAGCACAAACACTCATCACAGAGAAACGCACAAACACATAATATAATAGTCGACACAAAATGCAAACTGCAGAACAACTACGAACATCTATCAACGACAGACAAGCACAGGATATCACAAACAGTGACGCACTTACATAACGAATATGTAATCTTGAACTTCATACATTTATTTTCATATTATCAGCCAAAAAAATTATCATGACAATGACGGAATTGAAAGGCTATTTTATAATTATTTGGTCTATAAACGATAAGACATAGCACATTATCTAACCGAAATCATAACAGAAACATCAAAAATAAATACATGAATGTTGGATGTATAAAATACCGAGACACGTCGTATAAAAATGGAAATTCACAATAATTATAACTGTCATATTCGGGAATAGGTCAC